AAAGGGTCAAAGTTGTTGGTATCCAAAGAAAGGTCTTCTCACAAGGACTACACATATGAAGTATGAAAGCCTTTGCACCAACCGTTCAAAAGTTATGGCCAAGGTTAAAGTTTGGTAAAATTTTGCAAAACTGGGTCAAACTCCAAGGTCAAGATCAAAAGGTCATATATGGTGGTACCCAAGGATAGGTCTTGTCATAATGTACACTCATGTCAAATATCAAAGCCTTACCCTTGACAGCGCAATAGTTATGGGCTAGGTTAAAGTTGACAACAGATAGACAGACAAACAGACAGACAGGACAAAAACAATATACCCACGGTATCATTCGATCCCAGGGCATAAAAAATCGTGTAAATAATGTGTTCAACATCAAAGGGAAGATCACTCTAACGGAAATTTCCCGGTACAGAATTAGAACTCTTCAGTGAACAGTGTTTTAATCTTCCTTAAGGAAAAAAATGAAGTACACATTATGTAAAAAAAAAAAAAAGATACAACTTTATCTCATTGGAATTTTTAGTGCTACGCTTGCACATTGAATCACGATCTTTTCATCGTCAAATACATGTGAATACAATTATACGCGGACTTTAATGATGCTACACATCCTCCCATGTATGTAGAACATCACTCCCTCCAATCCGACTTTGTTTTACTTCACAGTGTTTTGGAAGACGAAATGTATTTAGGAGACTTCGATATTCAAAGTCTTACGTAACACCACATCTGCTACAAAGTGATGCACGACTATCTGCAATGTTTCTCTATTTTCAGTCTGTTTCTCATCCTGAGAAATAATAAAACAATCTGTTTTTACAATGACTCACTGCAAAGGGAAAGGTTGTCTGCAAACCTTTTTGCAGGCAACAGTAACGTAATTATAACACGGTACAAACGTATAGCAAAACTGATTAAGGGTAATTTGATTTATGAACGGTTCCATTCTTTAGTCTGACATTGTAATTTTGTCAATTACTGTACAATGAACGAAATCATCAAACAGGAACGGTGCTGCTAACGTAAGAGTTACTTGTAGGGAAAGATGGTAAACAGTTCCATTAGTTCTGTCTCGGATAAAATCCTATTGATAATCCCATCTAGGGTTATCAAAATATAAGAAATTCCGTTATTAACTTCATATGATACACAAGTTTAAATATGAAGAAGGGAGGAAAAGTTTCCGATTAGCTACGATGACAAAAATGATCACCATCATGTTAGTTGGGAGAAAAAAAGTGTAACAGTCGTTAACCATATGATTGAGAAACTTTACTGTGTGTCATAAATGCTCGCTTTAATATACAAACCTGGTCCAGTTCGATGATGACATTGGCATATATACTACTGATAGCCAATTACATTCTGATACCATGTTGTTTGAGTATTTTAAAAAAGAATATAGGAATTTTACCAGCATTTCCTATCCCTTTGAAAAAAATAAATATTTAATTCACTTTTAAAACAGATGTTGATCGAATTACTCATATTCTTTCAAATTGATACTACGGGCCATTTTCGCAATTTTTGAGAAAGAATGTCAATGGTGTGAAAACTTCCACTTAGCAGAAGCTACAGCTGTTGAGCTGCGCGTGCCTTCTGCCATCTGCCAATGTAGTGCAGAAGTCTTGAAGTGCAATATATGTTAACGTTTTTAGGGATGATTAAAGTTAGTCACTAGAGCACACTTTTAAATTAATAGTTTTACGAATCAAAAAGCAAAAATTACTAACGAGGTGATGATAAGTATGACCATGGATAAATAAATTACGAGATATGCTTCTTTCGTAATTAAAAGAAAAGACTTTTTTATACATTAAATGATCGCCAAACTCATTTTTACTTTTTCCTTGAATAAATGTAGAACATAGATTCTATGTCATGCATATAGAAAGAAATAATTTTCTTACCATGACGAAAGTTTTCAAGAGAATAACACGAACGAATTTTAAAATTTTCCTCACGGATGTCAACGGGTTAAGAACAACGCGAATCAGACAAATTTTGCTCTCACTGAAGATACACGATGACGTCACTCACATGCAACACCTCTTTGTTCGAATAAAAATTTAGGCATTCCCTCTTACTTGTATTTTATCATCACATTTCTACTCCAGAAGTTTTCTTGATCAAGATATATCATGCATGCACTGTGAATTCTCTTTTGCACATCATTTAAATTACTAAAAGAGTTTAGAAACTTAAATGCAATCCTTAAACTCAAAACTTAAGTATACAACCAAAGCTGAGAATCTATGGACGATGACGAATTTCACTTGCTGTGAATCTTATTGCAGTATCAATGAAAACATTTGTACTATGCAAGATTCGCTTCTTCCAAATTATTAGCCTACTTGGTCTATTGCAGCTCTGTTTAAAACAGGACTCTTAGGTCCCCAGGCCTGGACGTTCTCTGTCGTAAGAATATGACTTTTTTCCACTACAAAAATCTTCGTAGTTTTTGCAACATGGTAAAGGAGATTAAGATCTATGATTTTTTTCGATTAAATACTGCAGACATCATATCATACACACGTATTGTCTGTCTCGTGGTACCACACCACTGTTTGCATCAGATCTCAAAATACATTGGTCTTTACTCCCCAACTTTCTGCTTTGGTTTCTTTCATATTTCACATGTGTATTCCTTATGAAAAAGACCTTTCTTTGGATACAAACATATTTTATCTCTTGACCTTGGGAGTTTTTGCAAAATTTTACCAAACTTTAACCTTGGCCATAACTTTTGAACGGTTGGTACTAAATTTCACTTGTGTATTCCATGTGACCAAGATCTTTCTTTGGTTACCAACATTTTTGACCTCCTGACCTTGACCTTTGAGACCTTGCCTAAAACTTTTGAACCATTGGTGCTCAACTTTCATATTTCATTATTTATTCCTTGTGACAAGGCATTTCTTTGTTATGAATATTTTTGACCTCATGACCTTTGACCACGGCGCATGACGAACTTTTGAAAAACTTTAACCTTTGCCATACATTGTATTTTTTGAATCGTTGATGCTATGGTTTTTAAATTTCAATATTCCTTGTGACAAGACCTTTCTTTAGGTACCAACATTTTGGAAATCTTGACCTTGATGTTTTATTTACATCTGAAAAACTATATTCTTGGCCTTCAGCTGCTATTCAGGGACATCAGTGTTTCACAAAACACATCTTTTTTTTTCTTTAAAAGACAACAGAAAATCTTTATTTCTCAATTATCTTTGCAACAATGAGGGTGTAGCTCTTCATTTGAACAAACTTTAATTGTGTTTACTTTCTGTTGCTTTGTGGCATGTTTAATTATACTTAATCTAGTGGTACTACGAAGAACTCAAAAATGTGAAACATTAACCTGTACTTGTATTTAAAATGTTTCTGCAAAGCAGTGTATACTTCCAATAAAATACCTTTAATACACAAGAAAGAACAAAGGATTTCACATACATTGTTTTGAAGTGAAACCAACTTTAAATCAAAATTCACCAATAACAAATGAACTTACTGATCAATTTTCCAATGTTCATTATTGATACTCACAGACTATTTATGACATATTGTTCCTGAAACACAAACAATAACAAACAAAGCAAAATGTACAACAAAATCAATGTTGAAATGTTTTAATTTTTTTAGGATCCGTTACACAGATCTGAGTAGATATTTAGGAGAAGGCTCAAAACAATGATAATTCTGTTTTACAGATACATAAAAAAGCACAACATTCTTCCCTGGTAAAAAACTTGGGCCCCCTTCCCCCATTCAAACAAATAAAAAATGCAAACAGGTGCTTGTTCATCCTTTTTTTCTAAAATTTGTTTTGACTTCTTGTTCAGTTACCTCATCATAACTAAATTTTTTCAAATATATGTATAATAAAACTAAAATTTGATTTTCAAACTCTTGCGATTTGGTTGTCAGAAAATTCAAATAAGCTTTTTAAACCTTTTTTTCCTTCAATTTTTTTCAATTTTTCAATCAATGAAGTTTCTTCAATTGCTGCATTTTTTAACCCCAAGTTTTTTGCCATTTTTGAATTTGACAACACATTATACTCATTTTAATGAGAATACTGACATATTTCTATCATATTTCTATATACAGAGTACATACAACATTGACCATCAACAAACATTTATGGAAAAATTGGCAACAAATTTATAATACTTGTGAAATACTATCATACATGTAACAAAGCAACAAACCTGTTCGTATACTTTTTCTATTATCAACTGATACGCTGAATTTTTTAAATGCAAAAAAAAAAAAAAGAAAGAAAAAATCCATATTTTATGACAAAACAGAGCTGGAGAAACTATCACAATCCTAGATCTTTATGGAATGAGGTTAAGACTTTTATCAGATCAGAGATTTACAACAGCAGAGAGAATATCCCCACTTACATGAACAAACAAGATAATATTATTTCACAAAGTTTATAACATAGTGCTCATCGGGACATGATTAATATAAAATGTCTTCATACAGTTATAAATTCTTCATCACTCCTACAAGTGTCCTAATAGCACCTTCAGATTAAAATGCAGCATACTATGAGTAATGATTCTGTAAAAATGACTAAATGTCAACTTAAGCAAAGATAATGAGTGCAAGGAAACTACATATTTTAAGAACTGTAATAAATCTAGACATGTACATAATATATACATGTATATAAATGAAATAATACCTTAGATGGACATTATCTATGTGAAATTAGCCTTTCACTGTATGAAAAAGCTTTGACATTAGTAACTTCCATATACATGTATATACCTCAGCTCTTTGTCATTTTTACTTTTGTTGAAGAGGCAACTATTATTTTTGATCAAAATTTAAAAATAACATTTTCCTGTTACTTTGGCACATTTTTAATTCAATAAAAAATATGTTTAAGCATTCAAGTTAACTGGTCATTCAAAAGAAATTTCACACTTTTCATAGCCTAATTAAAATAACTTAAACTCAACTAAAATTATTTACAAATTTAAAACATTGAGATTTTTTGCTTGCAGAATAAATGATTGTCAAGTTCCTGAATTTTCTGTCATAATTTCTGAAGGGGATCAATACCTGTACACAAGACATGTGATCTACTTAAAAACAGCACTAACAGTAGTTCTCCTAACCTTCCCATGGCTCAGAGACAATATCCCTCACTTTTACTTCCAATAAGCTGCACACAGGTCTATTAAAAATGAATGTAGGCTTCAAGTGTACAATGCCTACAGGTAAACACTCGTGCCAATTACTGGGACTAACCAGAATACCTGGCACACAGAAACACAAGTAAGTTAATACACAGAGTTCACACAGGTGAGCTATAACTGATTCATCTCGTCTTTCATATTACATAGCACTCGAATGATATAAACGGAAAAAAAGTTCAATGAAGTCAAAAATGTGTGAATGTTCTCTATGAGGTTACTTAGTGAAGTGTTCATTAACAAGAATAAAATGAGATTACACCTCATCTGATTTTTATCATACACTAGATGAAATACTTGCAAATGCTAAATGATACATAAAGATGCAGAGGTGCAGTTTAATACTGCTGAACACTCAACAATTCTCTTCTCAGTCACTGCAGAATCCATCCTAGTCTCTTCTTAAAAATATCACAACATATCTGATTTCTTAAACTATTAATAATTAACAATTAACAAAAACAGCTCCTTAACAACAGCCACTAGTTGTAATCCTGCTCCTTATTCTTTTGATTTTTTTTTCACATCGTGTCAGATTCATTCCTTGAAATAATATGTGACATTACATTTGTCACGTAGTAGCAATGGTTGTTTGCAATGCTGATATTGCTTCTGAAGAAATCTGAGTGGTTGTGAGATGTGGTGATGCAAACAGCATGGAACCAGAGGGGGTACTATCCAGCCCTGTTCCTTCTACAGCCCCTTGAAGTCCCTGCCCTGCCATCTGTGAGTTATACTCAGCTGTCTCCATCCTCAGTATGTATGGTATTATGCTGTCTATTTGAACACTGCCTATCAGGCCAGCAAAAAATAGTTCCTCCATGACACTCGGACTTAGTGAGTGAAGAGCAGGGAGACGGAGTAAAAGTTTGGCCAAGCGGTCTGGACTGGAGGGGTGTGTTTGACGAATGTGATTGGCTAGTTCACGCTGAGCCCTTTCCTGCACTCTCTCAATCTGCTGAGCGTTTGGCAGGGATGGAGTATCTGCAATTTAAACTAACTGTCTCATTGTTTGTCTATATTCTCCACATCCTTTCTATGCTAATGAAAGTAAATTTGGTATCTCAAATTTCATTTTGTCAGTTATAAGGGATAAGTCAAAGTAAGTACCAAGTGGCCTGCACAGATCTTACTATGAATTCAAAATTTGAATTTGGTATTTGAAATCAGATGTTTGAAGCTTTTTTTTTTTAAAGTTCAATCAAATTTCTGATACTGATGTTTGACTGTACTCCCAATTTCATTGCTATATACTGTAAAGTCACATATTTTTCTGGGATCATATTTTCTTGGTTTAACGATAAAATATTGATTCTTGGGAAATTGATTTCGAGGATGAATAAGTACTTAGCTGTTATCTAAATTCTTACATTTCCTGGTGTACATGAATTCAAGGGTCTCTTCATACCACGAAAACAATGAAAACTAAACCCCCACAAAAACGAAAGCTTTCACAGTACATACTTCATGAAGTAAGTATAATTACCAAATCTATTTTCCCAAGAATTCAATAACTTTTTAAGTGATAAAAGTCTCAGTATACTGCGCAGAGGCACATGATTTGAATAATTTGACCCAGAGACAAGAAAGATGTGTCTTCTTATCGTGCTTCAGGAAACAGTCTAAACAGCCTCATCATTAATATGTCAAATCTAATCAAATTTGAAAGTTAAATTTCAATTTTTCTACTGTTAGAAGTAAATCCTTATAATTCATCTAGTTTTAATGACTTACAGCATCACTCACCTGGAGAAAACAAGACCAAAGATTTAAGTGTTTATAACTTACTTTATAATGGGTGTAAACATGAATTGTCTAACTCACCAGGAGAAAACAAGACCAAAGCTTTAAGTGTTTATGGCTTTCTTAATAATGGGTGTAAACATGAATTGTCTAACTCACCAGGAGAAAACAAGACCAAAGATTTAAGTGTTCATGACTTTATAATGGGTATAAACATGAATTGTCTAACTCACCTGGGGAAAACAAGACCAAAGCTTTCAGGTAAGCAAACTCCTCGGAGTCTATCTGTAGAGCTTCCAAAGACTGTATATAGTTCTGAAGCTTAAGGATATGGTCTATAACTATCTTCACTCGTTCTGCTGAATTTTTATCTGCAAAAGTAGACAAAACTGTCTTTTTACATTTTAATCTACATCAATTAAACAAAAAAAGTACCTAGAAAAATGACAACCAGAGAGGGCACCATTAAGGGCTGTCAAAGGGAAGTGACACCTGTACTTGGAAGAATAATGTATAGAACAAATATTGCATAAAGAAAAGGTGATGAGGAATCTCTTATATAATTGTTATAATTATTAACATTTAAAGATTGGACATACAAAAGGACAAATTTTCACTTTAGATACTACTCTAAAATACTGTATGTGTATTTAAAAAGCGGGCTTCATATTTTAACGGCTTTGGCACAGACAACGATGCGTTAATTCATGAATACCGCTAACAAATCATTTATTAATACAATACATGGCAAATTAGTGTGTAGCGCTAATTCATGAATGTGCCAGCAACTCAGTACCCAGTGATTGCGCAAGGTTTTAAATACACCAATTTCTGTACACATACAGTACATTGCTATATTGTTTTATTACAGATACATCTTTAGATTACCTTCTTGTAGTGTAATATTTGAGATTCTACTTTAGATCACCTTTTGTAATGCATTACATTACAGATCTGCTGTAGATTACATTGCCGTATTGTATTACATTACAGATACTTCTGTAGATTACCTTGCTGTAGTGTTTTATTATAGATACTACAGTAGATTACATTGTTGTGGTATATTACATTACAGATCTGCTGTAGATTACATTGCTGTATTGTATTACATTATAGATAATGTTGTAGATTACCTTGCTGTAGTGCTGTCTGGAGGTGATTCAGTATGGCCATTAAGATAGTCGAGAGAGACATAGACTGGGCACACTGGGCCAGTCCTAGAGTAAACAGCTCACTCCAACAGGACTTCACTAGAATTGTCTGTACATCTTGACTAAAAAAAAAATTTCCGTTACTTTTAATACTGGTTTGTGGACTTCTACAGAAGTACAGAAAAGTGACCATGGTTTACTATTTGCCATGATTGAAATGGAACCTACTGAAAACAATCAACACTTACAAATCTTCTTACGGTGATATTCATATATTATATACTTAAGGCTGAATATAAAACATGAGTTGACATATATTAAAGCAAGTCAATTTATTGTATTTCTTAAGCTGATTCTAAATAGATTTCTGACCCACCTGAGGACATGAAATGAAGGGATGGAGCGTGTCCAGTGCATGGACAGAAAGAGAAGTCTAGACGCTGTTTCACAAATGTAGTGGACATTGAGATATGCTGGCATGGGGGAGGGCGTGGTCAGATTGAAGGCAAAATTCTGCTGGGTCAGCACTGGACCTACAGATACCAAACATAGTTAATCACACTTTCAAATTGAAAGCAAAGAAATCATTTGTGTATAATTTCATGAAACATGTAAATTATTAGTACATGTATATATTAGGGATGTCAAATTGGTCGATATTTGATAATCGGTTACTCAGACGATTTTCTGATCGAGTACCCGGGTACGCGGTAAAATTGTAAAATACAAATGTGTTAATTTTATTGAGACCAGTTAAGCCCTGTTTAACCCCATCGATATTTTTTTAACGTTTTTTTTATTCCTGTACACAAACATCACACAAAACAAAAGATTTTTTGCACTAAATTTATTTATCAAATAAACACAAAAGACAACAATGAATACATCAATAACTAGAAATCTGACCAGTCAGCAAGGGCCCCGTTGAGGGGTAGAAATATAAGAGTGTAGATTACGGGATGAGAATTTTACTTGATTACAAAAATTTAAAAATACATAAAGAAGAATAAGCAACAGCAACTGCTCTATATATTTATCAACCTGTAAATAGTATCCTTGTATTTACATAAGGCAGTAAAAACATCATATATATAATGACTCAATTAAATCAATTAATCCCAGGGGATTAATTATACTGCTCTCTCAATCTTTTCTTCTAAATTTACAACAAAAATTTTTTTCAGGAATGATAGAATGAGGTTATTATCTGATTACCTCTTAAAATAAATAGTATTCTTGAATTTACATAAGGCAGAAAAAAGAAAGAAAAAAGAAAATAATTATAAAAAAGATATCTTTATCTATATCTTGTTTTTAGAATTCAATAAAATCATAAATAATTCATTGTGTATTTTATCAAAATAAAGTATGAACATTACATGTATTGAAATCCACATAACAGAGAATGTAAACATCATTCAGAATTGACCTTAACTTCAAAACAAACTTCATTTGCACACAGAGGTGTTCATTAATCTCAATGTGACAGATATAGATAAATGCTTTGGATTTTCTTCAAAAGAAAAGTTAATTAATCCCAAGAGACTCATTGCAGCCTTTCATAGTTTACAATAGGAACATTCTCAGCAGTTATCTCTCTTTGCCGATTCACTCTTGTATAAAGTTAAGGAATCTACCCCACCACCCCAGCTCCAAACCGGATGACATAGAGAACCAAACTTAGCATCAAAATATGTCTTACTATCTATTTCTGTTTACCAGGTGAATGGTCACGGTAATTACTGTATAAACAAGTACACAGCCACAGACAATAATGGGTATTAACAGGTGTGGGGGACGCTAATTACAAGATAAACATGGACAATTCATTTTGAAGTTGCATTTTTTTTTTTTATAAGTTTTGGATAAAAAAAATATACTTTTTCTTTGAAATATAAAAAAAAAAATATACATCCGAGTAACCGAGTAGCGATTTTAGTATTCTATACTCTGACGTTCGATCGAGTACCCGGTTAACCTGGTACTCGTTGACATCCCTAGTATATATGTATATGAACATTTATTTTAAAACATGAATACATCTAGTAAAATCAGTTGATTTTCAAGTTCTTGCAATTTTACATACTGTATACTGTTGTTTTTTTTTGCCCTTTCACTTTTGAAAATTATTTTTCCCCTTTAAATTCACCCAAACACAGTTGCAACTAAAAGGCAATGCTGTTGTCTTTCAATTCACCCATTTTAAATTCACCCATTTGCAACAGGGACAAAACAAATTTTACTGTTGTGCTGAAACAGCAACAGACAACAGACAAATTTTGGTCAGAAAACCTCACATAAGCCTTTGGTTTAGGTGAGCTAAAAAAAAGGAGAGGATGTGTTAACTTACCATCAACTTCCACTACAATGGAGTTTTCTCTGCTGTAGTCCTGTCCAAGGTCCATGCTTAATGCGGACTGATCTAGACTGCTGTCACATAGTGATGACTGGTCCAGGGACTGAAGAGGAAGATAGATTAATTATATACGTTTACAAAAGTCAAATCGGCATATACATGTGTATAGTTTTTACCTCATCTATGCATACTTACAGCATTACCATTGTTTATGTGTTTTTTTAACATGCAAAAATTGTGTTTTTACTGATAAAACAGAAAACTAGCAGAGTTGTATTGAAGTGTTTGTCATGCCAGAGTGAGCTGTGTCTATCATGATTTCCCAGTCTGACTTTTTTGGTCACCTCTTAGAGAGCTACTATCAGTTTACCTGAGGCTGGACAGCTTTGGCCAGTGTGTCAAAAGCCTTGGCAGCATTGTTAGATGTGTCTCCTCTCAAACCTGTGTCCCCATTGGAGGGTGCCTGCTCCTCCTCAGTGTTTTTACTCATTGTTGCTAATGTTGTTACAACATTGGCTAACGTGCTCAGATCTGTAAAAAAAAGCCATTACTGAAAAAAACATCTAACCCTTTCAACACTGTAGACCGATACATCGGTCTGATAAAATTTCGTCTTGGAACACGGTAGACCGATTCATTGGTCTCAGACACAAAACTGAAAGTAAATGTTTATTCTTAGAAATAGAAAGTATTCTCTGCGCAAGAACTTTCACTATGAATTATGGGTAGATGGATATAAACATCCGTTAATAAATATGGCGGACCACATGGCGAAAATCACGGAAAAATAAGGAAAATTAGATGAATCTCAAAGAAAACAACGAAGAAAGCAAAATGGCGGTTAACAACAAAATGTCCAATCTTTCTGACGATGAAAACTTTAATAAAATCGGGGAATTAGACATTAAAGATGTCTCTAGACAACAAAAATACGAATTTTTCACAATGTTGAGAAATCTATAGTCGGAGAAACGACTCGGCATCCGACTTTGAAGGCTCCAAAACAGAGCATGCTTTCAACGCTCCAGACTTCTCTTGATGTCTCGAAACACCATGTTTTATTTATTTATTATTATGGACTTATTTTTCAATAAATTCTGACATATTGCATATCATTTTACTCGGAAATAATTTCTCTTTTGAACTTTGTAAAGAACATAAGCGATTTTGAAACTTCATAGCAGCAAATTTATTAAAATATTACATAAGATCAGTTATAAAATGTAAATATGATTTTTATTAGTGCTTTTGACATGCTAAATAATTTTGAATATATATAAATTTGATATCATTTAAATGAGAAATGTCTCACCTTTCTAATAATGTGTCATTTATTAAAATGTTCAAAGAAATAAAGAAGTTACTGTACTTTTTGTAATGGAAGGTGAAATGTTAAGTGATGGCCCAAGTTACTCAGTGTACCAGGGCTTGTTTGATAAAAGTTACTCAGTGTTGAAAGAGCTAAACACACCAAAAAGGCCTTGTTCTTTTATTTTATGTTAGCATTGCCTGCAATTTTTTTCCCTTTTTATAGACCACTTTTCTGTTTTCTTTCTGAAATTGGCAAGTAATAGTATCTACCTTAACACATCTATCTGTAGGTGAGAGATTTACCTGTAGTTGTGGAGGTGGGGACTATTCCTCCCATGATGACATTACCCTGGTCAGTGTGGACTATTCTCTCCTGTAGATTAGCCAATAAATTACTGGCTGCCCTCTGTCCACTACCCTCTTCTAGCTGCTCAGAAATACAAACATAAACATTACCATAAACCCCTACAGTTAAATATTACCTGTATTAAATTGATAAGCAAGAATTTCTACTTCAATTTAAATTTTCTGATTAGTTAAAAAGATTTTTTTTCAAATCCAACATTATAGCACAATTATAATAAATTTTGGAAAAATGTAATACAACCCCCCCTCCCCCCCCCCCCCCCCAAAAAAAAAATTAATAAGTTTAAATTTGTGCTTTACATTTTTAACAAGCATTTGTATTTACTGATTTCTTATCTAATTAATGGGAAAAGAGTAGAAAGACTATCTATGACTCATATAGTAAACGTGGAAAGCTGCTCAGACCGATGAGATCTCTGACACACCTTCACCTTTCCAATAAACATAGGGAGGGAGGCAAAGGGACTGTCTAGATCTTTACATACCTTTCCAGTAAATCTAGGAAGGAAGTTGGAAAGAAAGTTGATTTTTTTTAATGTGACATACTTTCCAGAAAATGTAGGAAGGGCAACTGAGGGACTCTTGTTAAAATGACATATAACTTTTGTGTAAAAGTGAAGGGGGAGGGGGGTTGCACTCTTCGAGATTTTCACACGACACACCTTTCCAGTACATGTAGTCAGGGAGGTGGAGGGACTGTCAAGATCTTTACATGACTTTACCTTTCCAGTAAATGTAGGGAGGGAGTTGGAAGGAATGTTGATTTCTTTGTGTAACATACCTTTCCAGTATAAGTAGGAAGGGCAGCTGAGGGACTTTTGTTAAAAAGACATACTTCCTGTGAAAGTGAAAGGGTGTGGGGTGAAGTATTGGACTGTTGAGGTCTTTACATGACATACCTTTTCAGTAAACATGGCAAGGGAGAGGTGATAGTTTTAAGACCTTCACGCGACACACCTTTCCAGTAAATGTAGGGAGGTAGATGGAGGGACTGTTAAGATGTTTCCATGACATACCTTTCCAGTAAATGTAGGAAGGGAGGCAGAGGGACTGTTGAGATCTTTACGAATGTAGATTTTCTGTGTGGATGTAGCTACTGCAGAAAACTGTCTCTGGTCTTTCTCTGGAGGTTTCCTCTCCTGTTGTACAGCTACACAGGAAAAAAAATATTATCTCAGTTATCATCTCCATTATCATGTATCTTATTCATATTTTTGGATTACCAATCAACCTAAAATTCTTTTTTAAAAACATAATGATTTTTTTTAAATTGATGTAATGGTAGTGATCACTGATGGGCAATTGGACAAAAATCAATCAATTATTAGTAATAATCAGCTGCACATAATCAATAAATAATCGATTATAACTGAATTTTTTTTGTCTAAATTAAATAAATCTAAAAAGTCAAACATTAAGATTAGAGCTTAGATTTATTTTTTATTTATTTTTTTTTTTTTTTTACAAAAACTCCATTAAATTAATTATATGTAGGCCCCTATGAATGTTTAATGTTTTTTTTTCTTTAAATGAAGTGGAAAATAAGAATTTATTTCTTTAACTCTTGACTCTTTAACTCATTCATTTTTTTCTCTCATTAAATATACTGAATGGGAATATTACTGAAATTAGTCCCACCTTGCATTATTTATTTTCTTGGAAATACAAGTTATTAAAGAAAGTAATTATCCAGAATTTGGACTTGTATTCTTGTTTATAATGAAGTTTACAGATCATCTGTACTGTTTGTGTTTTTCTGATTATAGTAAAACCATATAATATTGTTCATTTTCCTGAGATTAGCCTGACCCTACATTCAATAATGGCGGTAAAAATATCATTGTTGATGTTTTGAAAATTCATCAATATTTTAAAACTCTTCGCACATGGTTTTCAGTAATAAAATTAAAATTTTATCCATAATAATTTTTGTGTGTGATGTCAGCGACATTTATTAAGCAATTGATTAGAAACATCGAAGAGCTCCTAATGACCGACAATTGATCATCTGTGACAATTGGCCCATCATTATTTCATGTATTTAATGGTCTCTTAAAAATAAAAAAATAGAAAAAGCTGGTGGTGAAACTAATTTGGTTGTAATGTGCCATTTTGGTTTTATATTGTAAAATCTTGGTTGCCTACATCACAATATGACTTGCATCAAACCATGTATCAATCTGCTTAATGGTACAAATAAATTTTGTACAAATTGAAGTCCTTTTTGAAGGAAATGGTCTTATTCTGTATAGTTTTATAACAATAGAAAATTTAATTATAAGAAAAAAATTAACGGCTTCTAAAGTGATACTTTATATAACCTGGTCTGGAATAGTTTACGCTTCTTTTTAACCACCCAGCAGTTCATAAAACATAAACTGTTCCATTCAAGTTGTATAATATAACTTGGGTAGCCATTAAATTCATTCCTTTAATAAACTGACCATCAGACCAGTGTACTTAAGAAGCGTATGCCAAAATTTCGAATTTATCAATTCTGTTGCAACAAGCCTAAACTTTCTAGCCCTACATATAAAAGAACATCCTCCCATACCTCTTGCACTTTTACTGAAATTTACTGAATGACTCACAGACAAGATTTAAAAATTAAAGACACATTCTTAATCAATGAAAATTTCCTTACATTCTGCTCTCATCCCCACTGCTAGACACTTCTGAAGCCTGCAGTACTGACATCGATTTCTGTGTGGCTTATTCACAGGACAGTCCTTGTTACCACGACAGGCGTACCCCAACTGTTTTCTGATACTTCGTTTGAAGAATCCTTTACATCCTTCACAGCTGGTGCAGCCATAGTGACGACCTGGTAAACAATGCAACATTACCTCTCAAATCTGTTTTTGTTTATACTGAATTACTGTTAAACAATTTTTTTCATTTTAGACTAATCTTATCAACTTTCTTTCACTTTAGACTAATCTTGGTGAGTTTTATGAGGATGGACAAATGGTGAAAATCTGTCTCTATAAACAAATCAATCCCTAGGGCACCTTAAAAGATCAGACAACTCTGAAAAACCATAAAATAAAAGTTGCATACATGTACATATGACAAACTGGCACACTAAAATAGCTGTCAAGGAGAGTTGTTCTACAGTTAATGCATTCTGTCATTATAGCTTTTCATACAAAATCTAAGAAATATCCAAGTAATGAGGTATGTACAGTACACTGTCCAAACCAGACATCCTTTGATTTCAATAAATGTTTGAATGGTGTGAAAGACAAGGGGTGTATTTTGCCTGTGATACACTTACCAGATGCCTTGTCTCCACAGACAACACAGGGTTCAAACTTGCTCTCAAATGATGCCTTCTGTACCTTTTCTCGCATCAGATTTTGTTCATCTCTCAGTCTTTCTAACCTTTGATTGTGCTGAAGTTCCTAGGCCAAAGAATACAATTATTCCAAATATACCATAATCAATAATACCATCAATAAACAGATAAGACAGATAGTAATGTCAATTATTATGCACAGATGCTTGTCTGGCATACAGAGCATATTTAAGATTTTTAAGCTGTCAGAATACCCCCCCCCCCTTCTTCTCCAAAAAAGAGTCTTATGATATCCCTTATCCTGCTTATCCTATTCTTCTATTATTCTTTACCTATGATTATCTACTGTCTGACAATGACTATACCTTAAGTTTAACAGCCCAGTCTATGGAGGCCAGATTAGCATTCGGCACCTGAATAACCTGTGTGGGCAATGCTCCCTCCTTCAGCTTGGCTGCCAGTTCTGGAGGAGCCATCAAAATCTGTTGTCCACCATTATTGTTCACACTGCTAGTAGATGGCTACAAAAATATTACACATACATGTACTTTCAGTATATATGGAATCCTCAAATAAAAAAACTCCTTTATAATGAAATAAGAATTTCTCAGAAAAAAATGTTTCAAGATCATGATCAACCGTGCAAAGATCAATGTTTAAAATTATCAAAACTCCATTATTAATTTAAAAAAAAGTTTACATGTAGCTGAACTAACTGATGTATTCATATAGTATTTTTGAAATTACTGTGATGCAGGACCAAGTCTTACCTGCAGGTTAGAGGCAAAGTTTACAGGTATTGGGAAGGACCCTGGTGCAATAGTAATGGTGTGAAGACCTGATACTCCTGCAGTGGAGGATGAGGATGCATTCACAACACTGGAAAGACTTCCAAGACTGGATGGGTTGATGACATGAATGACGTTCTCTGGTGAAATTCCACCCCCTTCCATGTTGATGATGCGACCAGCGGAGACAGAGGATGCTGTTGATGGGGATACAACGCTTGAAGTGACACCCTGTGTCCCCTCCTCAGAACTCATTTGTTCTTTAGTGTCTGTTCCTTGTCATGTAAAATAATTAAAGTATATATTACTCTGAATTCCATTTTACACATTGAAAAACTCAATAGAGCCTTTGACTCAGGTGGGTGAAACACAAAATTCTGAACTTAAACTTGAATTGAACAGTGTCCCCAAAAATCATCTGTTTTCCAGTGTCTTTTACTGGTCATGTAAAATAACAAAAAAAAAAAAAAAAAAAAAAAAAAAAAAACAATTGCTCACAACTCCATTTTAAACATCCCCAGAAAGTTTAAAAAAGTTAATATATAGGCCTACTTCAATCAGAAAAACTCAATTGAGCCTTTAGCTCAGGTTGGCTAAAAACAAGATTCTTTATTTTAACATTAAAGATATATTTTTTTCATCCTAATTTTCATGTTACTAAAACTTTTTGACTTTTTTTTTTATTACCATTACTTGTGTTAATGAGTTCTGGTGACATTTTGCAGACATGAAGCACAATGTAAAAATCAATACATAAGCCAGACACTAATTAGCATAATGTATGCACATGACCCAGTTCTGTCGAGAGTTCTCTCTGGGAGGACAAAGGTCATGCAGAAGTCGGGCAAAAAGAAAATGGCAGGCTTTGAAAACAGATTTCTATCGTCTAGTACTGAAAATGCATCGTCATCTCTATATCATGTTCAGTCATACAAACCACATCCTCTCCGAGCTATAATATAGAGATATGCGGTGACCGTATCGCCAACACAGGTATCGAAAGGTCATGCACTCTTCCCATGTGTTATTGGCCGTGGGGTTATGTTTACAACACGTCAAAACAAAAAGGAAATACAGTTAACATAACTTGTCAGGTACAATTACATTTAAACTACAGGAATACACTTTTACAAGCCTTTGATATATCGACAGTTCTGTATTCTTGCCATTTTCGGCAACATTTTCATCACTCTCCGTCGAGTTCACTGGAAATGGCGGCTGCCGAAGCGTTGAAGATCCGGGTTGCCCAGGAAAACGTACAAATAGAACTCTGATGAACGACTAAATACTTATGTTTGTCTGTTCTTCTGGAGTATGTACACTAAGTATTCAATTTTAATCTTACCTTATTGTGGCAGATTCCTGTTATCTCGTAAAATGTTATTAAAGTCTTGATGCCAAGGAATAAAGGTCATAGGTTGTGACCTGCTGTTGTACGAGCTCTGAATTTGCTAAAATCTGATTGGTTAAAAATTACATCACGAGTGTGTTTACGCGCGAGAAAACAAGCGAGAGTTTACAGCGCACCTGTTATCGCGCAATGTAAACAGGAAGTTGTTCTTAAAAGCATGTACTGCATCAGCTGTGAGGTGAGGTTTGGGTACATTTTTATTTAAGCAGATTTTTTTTATCTCTGACCATAGTGTCAAGTGTTTTTGATCGAGGATAAAGGTTAATTAATTTGTTCTTTAAAGCACTGTCAACCATTGGCTTTTTTTTTTCAAAACGGTCCTCCCATCCACCAATTATCAGCAGATCAGTTAAAAATTACTTGGATTGGTGGCGGAGACTCATGTAGCTATAATGTGTAACAATATGAGTTTTCTTAAGCTTTTCATAGTTGCTTTTGATTTATATCGCTGTAACATAGGCAGGTTTGTGCCTCAACTTGGATTTGAACCAAGTGAAGTTGGATACAGGTGAATTATATTAAAGATTAGCAAAAACTACAAAATCTGTAAAGATTCAAGCTTTCTTAAACTTTTCAGCAACAACATACTAAGGAATATATACTTTCATCTGTATGTCTAGCTGTCTGTCCCTTTGCCTGACTGTTCTGTCCCCCCCCCCCCCCCCCTTATTTGCTTGCAGATATTGAGCTGATTTTGGATATTAAGTGAGTGTACCTTGATGAGCTACAGATCAAGTTTGCATTTCATTCTGCTTCGATGAATTTGAGGGAGTTACTATTGTGCACAAAAAGTTGCACTCATTCTCAATTAATTTCTCCAATTTCTTACCTCAACTACACAAAAGCTTGTAGTTGACATCTGCATGAAGAATAGAACTCCTTAGTATCTATATATGTCCAAATATCAGGTCTGTACTGAAAATGGATCAGAGTTACTTTGCATTTAATAACAGACTGTCATATTGCATGTAGATGGCATAAACCCTAACCCTAACCCTGATAAACACATTCTAAAATGTAGGCTCTTGAAAGACCAATACAGTGTTACCTTTTGGCCAAGACAGATTTTGGCATTAAAGCGAGGGTGGCAATATAACAAATTCTTCCATAAATTACAATTCAGTGCGTAATAAAAAAATAAATAGTTTACCTAATTTATTTCAGTTGCAATCTGTTAGTGTCATGCTTGTGCACATGTGTATAAAGGCAACTCTCATTTCTTTTTGAAAAGAGTCATTATTATTTTTTTTTACAATATTTTTGACTAAAAAGAAATAAAATGTCAGAATATTGAACACTCATCAATTTCCTGCTCTTTCATCATGCTCTAAGAATTTAATAACCTGATGACAAAGATGTCAGTACTAGCTATTATAGCCTCTCGGAATAAATCTTTTTTTTTTGAGAATTACCGGTATCATTAATTTCATCTGAATCAAAAGTAGATTTTATTACCATCTCAAGAATGTCTGAATCAGTGAAAAAGTTCAGTTGGTAAAGTGTCATGAGTTGACTGATGAATGGTTAATGGTAAATCACATGTTAGGCTAAGTCAACATGTTGTAATAAAAATATATTCTCATGTGTACTTCTCTTTCGATTCTGTTTTGATATATATCAATCAACCCAATATGTGCCCAACAATTCATGAAAACTTCAGGGTAACAGAATCCGTAATATTTTCACATGCGGAATTATAGTGGTCTAAAAATAGAGATGGGGTTTCCTTTTGATGGATAGAATGGCTTCTTAATCTAAGGGGACACAAATGAGTTTTTGCATTTATTATGGTTTGAAGCATTATCCATGATAAGCAATGATCGGTGATTTACAATCAAATAGATCAAATGTTGATCAATCTTTTTTCTTATAATCCAAATTTGTACGCTTTCTCTTGCCTTACGTTTCCATTATTGTGATTAAATAAATATTCTATCTCATAAAAATACGCCAAAGACATTGCTAATTTTGAGTTTTATTAGCTTACCTGAGCCGAAGGCTCAAGTGAGCTTTTCTGATCACATTTTCTCCGGCGTCTGTCTGTCTTTCTGTCTGTCTGTATGTAAACTTTCCACATTTTCGACTTCTTCTCCAGAACCACTGGGCCAATTTCAACCAAACTTGCCACAAAGTATCCTTGGGTAAAGGGGATTCAAGTTTGTTCAAAGAAGGGCCATGCCTCCTTCCAAGGGTAGATAATTATGAATTCGTGAAAAATTAATGGCATCATTAAAAAATCTTCTTCTCAAGAACCACTGTGCTTGGAAATATGAAACTTATGTAGAAGCATCCTCAGGTACGGTAGATTCAAGTTTGTTCAAATCTTGACCAGGGGGCTTCTGTTGGGGCCACAGTGAGAGATCAAATTTTTACATAGGAATATATAGGAAAAATCTTTAAAAATCTTCTTGTCAAGAACAGCAAAGCCATGATTGGTCATATATATAAGGAAGCATCCTCAGATAGTGTACATTCAAGTTTTTTCAAATCATGACCCCCAGGGGTAGGGTGGGGCCACAATGGGCGATCAAAATTTTACAAAGGAATATACAGGAAAAAAAATTTAAAAATCTTCTTCTCAAGAACAGCAAAGCCATGATTGGTCATGTTTATGTGGAAGCATCCTCAGGTAGTGTAGATTCAAGTTTGTTCAAATCATGACCTGCGGGGGTAGGGTGGGGCCACAATGGGGGATCAAAATTTTACATAGAAATAAATAGGAAAAAATCTTTTTCTCAAGAACAGAAAAGCTATGATTAGTCATATTGATATGGAGGCATCCTCAGGTAGTGTAGCATCAAATTTGTTCAAATTAGGGCCCTGGGGGATAGGGAGGGGCCACAATGGGGGATCAAATTTTTACGAATGAATATCTAGGAAAAAATCTTCTGCTTAAGAAGAGCAAAGCCATTTGTTATATTGATATGGAAACATCATCAGGTAGTTTAAAATTCAAGTCCCCCCCCCCCCCCCAATGTAAACTTTTCAATACTGAACTGATTTTTGCTTTTTTTTCCCTAGCCAATGTGGTCAGGTGAGTGATGTGGCCCATGGGCCTCTTGTTGAATTTTCTGTTTATTTTCAACTACAGATTATTGAATTTTCTGTTTATTTTCAACTACAAGTTATAGAATTTTCTGTTTATAACATTTTCTTTGATTTTTGGCTGTGACATCATAGATTAAATTATTTTCAATTGTTAAAAAATGTTCTCAGTGTACACACAAGTACTCTGAAGTTGATATTAAAAAGATGTTTGAGTTTCTGATTGACAATTATCTATGTGGTTTTTGGAGAACAGGTCTTCCACAATGAAATGTATGTAGATAACAAACAGTATTCAAGCTCAAAAGTCCATTAAACAATGCAAATTTTGGAGCAGAGCAAACATGGACCTCTAAAACATCAGAGGTGGGATCAGGTGCCATGGAGGAGTGAGCATCCCCTGCCAACCAATCACTCCGGCCATGTGCTCCTTGTCATGATCGGGTAATAATGAAAAAATCCATCAACAATTCAGTGTGTAAATATTGGCCTAACAATTAGTATGAAAAGCGTCAGTCAGCATTTGACTTTATGATAAATTGTATTTGCTGACAAGGTCATTGTATCAACCATAGAACTTAAGAAAAGACAACTTTAAACGAGAGTGCTGATATTCTTGTTTCATCAACATGTTTGTCAATAACTTACCTCATTTTAGAAATTGTTCATACATAGAGCATGCTCTTGCGTATCAAATCAATGGAGAGATATAAATCCCTTATGCAGGTGATGAAGGTATATTGCTGCATAAGTAAGGGAAAGTTGACGATTGAAAAGTTAAAGTCATCACGTTTATCAAATTGTTGGAATTCCCATGGGCACTAATTGCGTCCCATTATTAGCAGACCTGTTTTTGTATTCATATGAAGCAGAGTTTATTTAAAAGCTTATACATGAGAAAAAGAAATCTCTTGCTGTGGCCTTTGGGTAGACATTTAGATGCAGTTGGTGAAGGTCAACGACGTATTGTCAATTAACAATAATTATTTCCATTCATATGTCCACACGATATATCTCAGTGAGCTTGAAATAAAAGATACCACAAAGTCTGACACATCTGTTTCATATTTGGATTTTTATTAGAAAAAGATAATAATGGTTATCTAACAACAAAACTTTAATATGATAAATGTGATGACTTTAACTTTTCAATCATCAACTTACCTTACTTATGCAGCAATATACCTTCACCACCTGCATACTGGGTTTATATCTCTCAGTTGATTCGATATGGAAGAGCATGCTCTACATATGAACAATTTCTAAAATGAGGTAAGACAAGTTGATGAAACAAGAATATCAACAGTCTCGTTTAAAGTCATCATTTTGTAAACTTGTTCTATGGTCAATACAATGACCTTGTCAGCAAATACAATCTATCATTAAGTCATTTGCTGACTAATTGCTAGGCAATTTAGTTACGTACTGAATTGTCGACAGATTTTTCCGTTATTTTCAGATCATGACAAGGAGCACAGGGGGGTGTGAACAGTTGGCAGGGGATGCTCACTCTTCCATGGCACCTGATCCCACACTTTGATGTTTGTGGAGGTTCCCGATTTGTATTGTTTTAATGGACTTTGAGCTTGAATACTGTTCGTTATCTCCATATTTCATTTGAAACATCATAGCTCAGCTATTGCAAAATTGAAAATATTGTAAACGTGGTTTTATATAAACAGCACTTTGTAGAAGCTATGGCAGCTATAATCTCTGTCAGAATGGTTTATTTACTCTTTGTTGTAACAGGATAGGGAGTATTTTTTATAACACTTTTATGAGGGTAAGGAAAATCTTCTTGAGTTTTACAACACTTTTCATATTTGTTCACAGTGTAAAAAAATATCATTGTGATATTTGTTCACAGTGTGAAAGAATATTTTTATTCCAATGATAAATTACAGTATTTAACTGTTGAAAATGTTAATAAAATAGAATATATTCTAAGTAAGTAAGACCAAGTATTTTAATCAATTATAAACTAAGTGTATTTACATGGCCAGCATGTTGTGAAAATTAATATCCTGGTAAGAGAGTGTTTAGTGACTCATTACAACCATTAAAGTACATACACATCCCAGGTACCATGTTTTGTACAATTATTGCTAATTAGCAAACAAGGATGAGATCTTGTCATTGGTTATTTATTACCGGTATCTATCCACATTATATGTTCTTTGGGTTGTAATCATCAAGATGGATGTCTTATATATTTAATTAAAGATTTTGTGCAGGAGATCTTTAATATTTAAAGTTAGAACAACGGACATCAATGGTTCAAGTATTATCATACATTAGTTTTCATTTACATTCATAGTTATATTGTGTCAAAGAAAGGATAGGTAACTTTACTTTCATTAAAATGTGTGTACTTAATCAAAATTATCAATCTAGCTACCATTAGCATCATGCTGCATGATTTGTGTGATGTTAATACGTACGTGGTTCAAATGTTGTGTAATTGTTTTGTGAATTTTTTATATTTTTTTTATATTGTAAATGTTTGTATAAATTCATGCATTTATTAGAATGTACATTAAATACTATTCTTTTATAGAATGAGACAAACAGGAAGTGCACTCCTTTGGTTCCTGTTTGTGTATACAGTTGCATGCTGGGTAGACTACAACCTGCCAAAAAGCCACTTGTCTTTCTTTTTGCGTAACAATCCAGAAATGAAGCAAAGATGTCAGGAGGATGAAGCGTGTCCGTACAAGGTACCAGCATGTCATCACTAGAAAAGAACAATTATATGTAATCTATACAAATATACTTCCTTCCAGTGAAAGCACATGGGACTATAGATTTCCTCTGTCTGTCTGTCTATCCCACTTGGTTCTCCAGATCTTTTTTTATAAGCATGTAGGGTCAAAGTTGTTGGCATCCAAAGAAAGGTCTTTTCACAAGGATTACATATGTGAAGTATGAAAGCCCTAGCACCAACCGTTCAAAAGTTATGGCCAAGGTTAATGTTTTTCAAAAGTAGGTGCAAACTCCAAGGTCAAAGTCAAAGGGTCAAAATTGTTGGTATCCAAAGAAAGGTCCTGTCACAAGGATTACATATGTTAAGTATGAAAGCCCTAGCACCTACCGTTCAAAAGTTATTGCCAAGGTTAAAGTTTTCCAAAAGTTGGTCAAACTCCAAGGTCAAGGTCAAAGGGTCAAAGTTGTTGGTATTAAAAGGAAGGACTTGTCACAAGGATTACATATGTGAAGTATGAAAGCCCTAGCCTAACCTACTATTGAAAAACTTTAACCTTGGTCATAAAACCATAAAACATCACTAACATACTTTATGATTGTTTTGTGTTTGACAGGGATATTTAAATGAGACCAGATGTTGGGGATATGAGGATTACTGTGATACAACCAGTCGTCTGAATTCTACCACTTGTCCAGAGGGAAGCAGAGGATGGTAAATAGCTGCTTTTGATATGGTCCCTATTACAAGGCCAGGGAACCATAAACTTGAATGTGATTTCAGTCCAGGAATAGTCTCTCAATTGTTGAATTCATTAGATGTTCCTTTTCTCTTGTCATTTAGCACTGCAGTTTAAATTGGATTATTATCTTTAGCCACAATTTCTCAAGATGGTATGGAATTAAAAGTTTGAATGGCATACTCTTTTAATTGTGTCAATAGCATTGTTAACATGCACATATCACTGTCTTAACTTTGAAAAAAATGTTTTATCTTGTGTCTAACAAGTCTCCAGCAAGTACTGATGCTGATGATCAAGTTGTACTTTTTATATAGTTTCAATGTCATACCATGATTACTGCCTTTGACCTTTTGACTGTAAAATTAAAACCTTTTTCTGGCCACCAAACCCGTATAGAAAATAGCCAAGAGGTACTCTTTTAATGGTTGTGACTATTTATGTAATTATAGTGTTAGGGTTCGACACATGGTGCACAATCCAAAGCCAGAGGTGTGTTGTGATCTTGCCCAAAGTTCAATTGATCCAAGTTCAACGTCTGCCGGTAATTGATGTTCAACAATATCTTGTTATTGAGAACTTTTATGCCCTATATTGATCAGAGTTGCATGGATGATACATCTACCGGGTAGTATGTTTCATTGTACCAGTCAGGTTTCAGATGCTGCATTTTCAGCCAATATATTCAATAAGTATGACCAGGTTAAAGTTTTTGGAGCAGGTCTCATTCCCAATTAATTATATGCCCTACCTGGACCAAACTTGCATGGATGATGCATCTAGGGATGTCTACCATACTTGCTACAGATGCTGGATCTGAGCTACATTTTCTAGATGAATGGACAGAATTAAGTTTTTGGAGCAGGTGTCATTCCCAAGTCACTATAAGCCCTATGGTGACTAAACTTGAGCAGATGATGCATCTAGGGATGCACACTACTAGACTTCCTTCAGATGCTGGATCTGACCTTCATTTTCTGGATGAGTAAACAGGTTAAATTTTTGAAGCAGGTCCATTCCAAAGTAGTACTTGTTTAGTATGAACATAAATATAGCAAATTTACAGTTACAGTTACAGTAATTGTAACTGTAACTGTAAATTTGCTCTATCCATGTTCATACTAAACAAGTTTTACTGTATTCTGATTAAATATGGTATTACATGGATGATACATCTAAGGATGCACAGTAATTTACCAAACATGATTTGGATGCTAGATCTGACCTGCATTTTCCTTATGTGCAGCAGTTTTATTAATCTATAGAATATTCTTCTTAGCATGGTACAGTTTTTATATAAAATTAAATAGGATAATCCCTTAGCGGGTATGTTAAGGCAGTACTCAGATCAAATTTCGGAGAATTTAGACTTTTTTCATAAAATGTAACAGTGATAAATCGGAAAAGCCATTGATAAAACATTTACTATTATTATCCATCGTATAGACGTCATTTAGTCCTAGGCTAAAAGAAGCACTCTACTACGACGTTATCACGTGACGTCTATAAATAGAAAAATTGCCTTAATGAAAAAGCTAAAAGTTCAACACTACCCCTGGGATAATTCATTTCTTTTTGTGAAAATAATTATGTAAAAACATCACTGGACCATGAAAAGTGCTGCTAGAATCCAACTCTCCCAACACAAAAAGAAATATTCCAAAGTTTCGCATGAAACCTTACCAATATTTTTACATTTTATACATACGATCAAGGAATTGTCATCAATTCATGTTAATCACACGATTCTAGCAGCACTTTCCAAGTACTATGGAATACAAGCTTTCGATACAAACAAAGATTATGTTTCGAAGTATGCGGCGTAGTGTTGAACTTTTGCATCTTTGTTGTTATAGAGCGACAGAGGAAAGGCTGCTCAGGATTTCAAAGCACTATCTGTGCTCATTATAAGAAAACATGATAAGAATATATCACCGTACCTGATTCTTAATCTTTAATTCCTTATGAATTACACAACATTCACAGTATAAGCTTTAAAACTCCCATTTCATATATTTGTTTATATGAATTCTCGTCAAGTTTCATTTTCACTCGGCAAATATTTGATCAATAGTTATGACGTCATGGGTTTGGTATTTAACCACCGTGATAAATACTTAGCTATTTATACCACCCCAAAATGACAAGATTTGGTTTATATTATGTTTTTGAATGATTCCATTCATTTCTTGGACCTGAAATTAAACTTCAAAGAACAATGACGTCATAATATGACGTCATAATGTATACTGGCTATAAGATATCGTGGGTACTAAGTGTGTATAAGAAAATAAATCAAAACTTTCTCTGAATAATAAATATACCTTTCATACATTTTTATTTGCTCATATGCATAGAAACGCCTATACCTAGCCTAATAACTCACATGCATAACTAAAAGCCTTAAGCAAACTTGCATAGAACATGTAGAAGTTAAGGTTTCACAATACCAGTCCTGCTTTGGATGCTGGATTAGAGCTTGATTGATGATTGAGTAGTTTTCGTACTAGGTGCATACCCAAGGAAGATACTATAAGTCCTACCCAGACCAAACCTGTGTGGAATATTGCATCTAGGGATGCAAACTGCCAAAACATTTCTTTTACACAGTCCCTTTCTGATAGATAACATTCACTGAGGTGAGCTTCGAAATCTTTGATTATCTATGTGTGTAAAGTCCATAACTCTCTGATGGAGGGTAATAAGTAGTTGATACTTGATAAAGATTGCTTATGACTTAAGGATGTGTCATGATCTTGACCAAAGGTCAGTTTGGCAAGTCAATTGACAGAAAAAGTATTAAATTTGTGTCCAGTCTATAACTTTTTCTTATGGAAAAACACTGGAAGTTTATACATGACACAAATATAACTTACAGTCAAACCTCATTGGGACTGAGGAAAAACTTTGAGTCTCAGATATTTAAGAGTTCGAGATATTGAGGATAACATAAAACAGAGAGAAAAAGTGATTGGGGCTTCTTAATGACATATCCATGGTATTCGAGATACCAAATTTTAACTTTATGTCCTGAAGCTTTGTCATAACCGGACCCAAGGTCATTCTGGCAAGTTCAAGGTCACTGACAAAAAAGTGTAAAATTTGTGTCAGGTGGATAACTTCTGACGTCTATACTCTATTTTCCCCTTCATGATTATCTATGACCAGAGGATTATCTTTATTTAAAAACCAAGGTCATTTTGGCAAGTTCAAGGTCACATTTAGAAAATTATTTATGGGCACTTTAAAAAAATGGTAAGGGGATGGTGTTATAATTTTTTTCATTAAAGCTATTTATCGTATTTCTAAGTTGACTATTCTAAAATGGGTTAATAGATAAACATCACCCTAATCAAGCTAGTTTCAGTGACAGTAATACCCAGTATGGCCTTGATCTTTTGATGTTGCATGTAAATTAAATACTAGGTTTCTCTGCCTACATGGCATATCTCTAACATGCAGTTAATATGAAAATTAAAGGTCAAAATGTGCTCTATTTTGTCTGTGACATTGGAATGGAACATGTGTCTCGATCTCTTTCATTTTGTTTTGAGAGACTAATTAACCTAAAACCTCATCATTAACAGCAGTTTATCCAGAATAATTGAGTCATTAAAAGTGAAACTTATTTTGACATTCATTTTTTGTTGAGCAGGAATAAATGAGATTTTGATTAACTGCAGATGTTCAAATATCTCTGTAAGATGTAACTCTCACCAAGCTGCGAATAAATGTGTAGAGGTTTGAGAAATTGATCAGCATCTTTTATAAACGATGGAGGCAGAAAACACAAAATTTTGCTACAAAGTTTATCCCTTGTATAATTTTTTTAGTACCTGTATTTGTTTGATATGGTTTTGGTACAATATATTTTTCTGTTTTTATTAAAATGATATTTAATTAACCCCTAAATCTATTGTTTATTGATTTCCTATTGCACCAGGACAAAGGGTAAAGCTGAGCAGCTAGACCTGTTTTGGAAATCTGTGGACTTTGGTTACATTCTGGAGAGGAAACAGGAGCTAAAAACCTTTTGTGAACCAAAAACTCAGGTAAATACAGAATACAATGTCAAAACTAGTTAGCAAACATTGATTAAGCAGTAATTAGATTGGTGGATGTTTTACAAACATAAAGAATATTGGGGATTCAAATATTTGGAAGAAATGCACAACATCCAGATTGAGCAAGATTAACAGTTACTGTAATTCTTCAATATTACAATAAATGGAATGATTACATTATTACATTGCAGGAGGATTCATCCCTTGAATGTGTTCGCTACACTCGGTTTTGTCGAGGGAGGAACCTGTTCTTTGATTTCACCAAACCAGAAATGTTTTCTGGTCAAGAGAGGTATAACAGAGAGGAATTATAAATAAAATTGTTTATTTTTAATTATGTTCCTTTAAAGAAAGTTGAATGAAAAAAGAAGACAAAAACTGAAGTGCAAGATAGTTGTGCTTAAAATCACTTAATAAAAAAGGTATCTTTTTTGTTATAACTCTGGCTTATTGCCTTTCTGTTAAGTCAAGGTAAAATGTAATCTTCTCGTAGATTCATTTTTCTGTTTTTAATTAAGACAAAAAAAAAAAAGACATAGGTGAAATTCCCCTAATGTTGCCATCAAACACCATCTTTTTTCATTTTCGTTTTTTATATCTTTTTTCTTAGATTCAAAGAAAACTTGTTTGATGCGAAGTTGAGGTTTGCACAGGATGAATTTAATACAGGTGTGATAGGGGGCCACTGTGACCTAGATAAAGAGGCCCTCAAAGCAGAGGGAGATCATAAGAGTGCTTTACAATCCTGGTAAGGACTTGTTGTAAAAACCTCCCATACAAGAGTTCCAAAGTAACAATCCATCCTCCACAGAGCAGTCCCTAAGTAAAGACTTCTCACATCTGGTTTGTCCAAAGTAGATAGGGATCTCCCAACACCCTTTCATGTCAGCCTCTCTCATACAGTTTTTCCCAAGTTAAAACTTCGTCTCGCACAAAACAATTCCTTAATAAGCCCCCCCCCCCCCCCCCCCCCCAACACACACACACACATACACACACCCCCTCAAACACACACTTAAAGCAGTGTTAACCAGTGGATTAAGGATTCCTGCTCACTCTTATCAGCCCAAAAGTAATTAATTTTTTAAGTGATACTACACATGAAGGCTGCAGAAAACTCACAAACTCATTCAATTTCTGTTTTTCCATTATTTATAATGATTTTTTATCAAAATGTTAATTAAAGCACATTTTTACCTTAAAAAACTCAAACACACTGTAGTATTTAATACATCAGTGTAAGATGCATTGCATGTGAAAATCAAAGATAAACTTGCTTGCTGTGTGTTTTCCAAAGCAGAAAATATCTAAAATTTGATGAAAATTCATCAAACCTAAAGAATTATAATCTGATCTATTCTAATCTATAAATTTCCTGTAGCTTCAAGTAAGCTACATATGAAATATTCATGTAATATTGGGTCCCATTTTAGTTTCATAGTTACAAATTGTGGTTCAATTTCTATGACAAATAAAGGGTCAAACTTAAGCCTTATTATAATGTGTCCTTCAAAGATGGAACACAAACATTTTATGAATCATAAAAGTCTGGAAAGCTAGCCTAATTTTATACTGCATTTAACTTCTGAAAGCCTGAACAGTAAAGGTATATATACCATTTCTTATTTGATGGGAAGAAAACCATTTTTGTTATAAATCATGATGTATATATGCAATAGGTTTGCTGAAGTGGAGCATTTCTCATCACTGCCTTTCCGTCCAATCCAAGATGGCCGATGTGATATCATTTTAGACAAACCAACATACTTTATGAAGTTAGATGCAGGTAAAGAAATTCATTGACTGGTGACACCTATTTTATAATACTTGTGTTACTGAAAAATTGTGGCATCAGGCTCTGGGGCCATATAAGTTAGATCAGCTTACTTTTGATCTCAGTCTTACTTTTCTTTATAATTATATTCCTTTTGTAAAAGTGAGACAGATCAAAAGTGAGGTTTTATGGCCCTGGAGCCAGACTCAATTTTAGGAAGAGATTTTTGTAACAAGAGGATGTCATCTCAGTAGGAGTGAATGTTTTGGTAATTCTATTGGGTTTATTTTACAGGGGTAAATATGTACCACCATTTTTGTGACTTTATCAATTTGTATGCTTCCAATCACCTAAACAACTCTTTTTCCACTGATGTCTACGTTGTTATGTGGGATACGGTATGTTATTACTGTTAAACACTTTTTAATTTGCAAGAACTTTATTTTTTTGTCAATTGCGTGAGAGCATCTGCTTGCAAAAATTTCATTCTTGCATCTATAATAAACAATTGTTTTCAACAATAATCTAAATTTATGATTTTTTTTTTCCGCTTATAATTTGTTAATAACTAGTCTCACAAAAATAAGGTGTCACAGAAATTTGGTGATCCACAGTAATAAAAGTATTTGCTACATCACTGATCCATATAAAAAGTCTGAAACGCCTACATCCTTACAAGTATAGAAGGATAATTCATCAAATGCTGAGATTGAAAACTGCAGTAAAACGTAGTACCTCAGGTTGGCAAAGTATAATTAAGGTGAATTTACCCTGTATCTAAGACCGACCATGCATGAACAATTTTGACTAAGGAGGCATTGACATAAAATGTCAAAAGGAATGATCCGGTCATGTAAAATGCACATGAACTAGACTGAATGATCGTATTGATAAAATAACTGTTAAACCCCATTTCAGTCTTCCAAATAAATATTCAAAAACCTTTAAAGAAATTTATTTATTTGTACAATGTTAAACACTGCAGCCATCACTCTGTAAAGAAAAAAAAAATCCCTGTATGACAATTGCTATTTTTATCCACATGCAGGCACCTATAATGTGCATCCCCTCCCTCCCCCCCCCCCCCCACACACACACACATATAAATTAAAAAATAGTATAAGAGCTTGTAATTTCTCAAAAATATTATATTTTCCTGTCAATCACACCCATATTTCATTTCATGCAAGCAGATTGTACTTTTTCTCACGTTTAGAGATTGCATATGGCCATGAAAATACAACTACAGCTGTAATAGACAAGTCACGTTAGAAATTAGCATCATTCAGTATCAATATTGTATAAAAAGTTACTGAAAAACTTTATTCTGCAATTATTTTATTAATATTTAGGATATAGATTTTATTAAATTTCGCTGAATGATCTTTAAAGCTTACAATATTTGTGTGTCTTGATGAACCCGACTCGAGAGACGTTTACAAAATTAGTGATTTATATAAGAATTAAATTTGTGGGTTTGGTCAGGGCTAGGGATTTTACAGTCAGGGCTAGTAAAAATTATAGGAAGTAGCCCAAATGTCAAGCCCTGTAGTGTGAAAAGGCCTTGTTCTGTCCAAGGGAAAGTTTCCCTTTGAGGCAAGATGGCAGAAATGAATTATCTACATGAGCATGGGGTGCCTTAAAGCTTGTTGATGATATTTTGTCGCAAGTTGGTTGGTTGAATGCAAAAGCATTCGCAAAATTTGATAAATTCGATAACTGATCGATGAGATATATAACCATTTAGATGTCAAAGTGTCAGAAACTTTATAAATTTAAAGTAGTTTTGTTAAGAATAGAACATTTAATAATATAAATGATGAGTTTGGTACTGAATCGAAAACCCATAACTGGTGACTATGACTATTATAAGAGGTCATTTCATGTATTGGATACAATTGAAGACACCTCGTTATGGAATACATTGAGAATGTAACAACAACTACTGTATGTACTCACCTTTAAGTCAGTTTTTTGGGAATTAAACTATAGTCCAAAACTCTTTATCCGACTTATACACGTTATTAAAAGACTGGTATTTAAGCAGGTCAATCCCTCTACTTTAAGCTATAAAAATACAACCGACTTATAGGCGGACCGACTTATAGGCGAGTATATACAGTAAATGATTGTATGGAGTATTTATCCTGTGTATTAATTGTACAGAGCACCATGGGCTACACAGATCTGTTCACAGAGACCTGGAAAGCCTTCACAGACTATCCTATTATTAGATTACACAAGTTCACAAAGAAAACTGTAAGTAACAGACATATATAGGACTTAGTGAGCTAAGTTTGAGTCAATTTTCTCATGATTTTGTCACTTGGAAAAAAAAAGAGACATACTGTAACAACCAAAAAATAAAGATGAAGATTTATTTTCAAAAAAAATGTAAGATGCATGCTACACATATCATTGTATCATGTTGTTGTGTACACTAACTGTAAACATACTTATTTTAGGCATCTACACACCATACACATCTATACATGTATGATTAATTCTTAACAATGAATTTGTTATAACTCTAGTGGACTAATTTATGAATGCATTAATCAGTTGAAGAGAGTGATTGCTCACCATATCATTCATACAGAGAGAGAGAGAGAGAGAGAGAGAGAGAGAGAGTGTGTTCTTTTGTTAACATTTTGATGCAAGTTTGTGTTCTTGTTTTAAGTACCTTGTGTAATATTTCTTCTTTCAGAATAATACCACAAAATCCTAGTTTTGAATTGCACTGATTTCACTAACAGTATTTTCTGTATTTTTTCTGTTTCTGTCCACAGTTGTGTGTACGAGAAGCTGTCTTTTCTCTACTTCCCAGAATGAGATATGGCATGTATTATAATCAGCCTTTGGTAAGCCTACAGCTATGAGTTGTTTATGTAATTCATTAACCATAATTGTACAACATGTGATGTAGAATTTACATGTAAAACACTCAAGGTTTTCAAACATTAAAAAAGAAATATTAAAATAATTTCAGAAAGTTTTGTTGAATTGAAATTGTAATTTAAATGAATTTTAAATTACTTCTAAATACTGACAAAATGATGCTATAAAATATATGAATTTTTTTTGTGTGCAATTTTATTATAGTTTAGTAAGAAATGACAAAAGGAGCCTATATTTATGTATTTGCAGGTTCCAGGTTGCAGTGGGAGCAGTTTTTTTGAAGCCTTTAATCAGCATTTGGCTCACAGACTTAAACTCACACAACATGGGCCACTGGTAAGAGAATACATTTTTTTCTCTAAGAAAAAAGGCATTCTGAGTACATTCATATTGTCAGGAAAGAAAAAAAATTGTCAAATATACTTATTCACATTGTAGAATTGACTGAGTAATATGTTGTTGATTGACCATGATACATTGTATCATACATTGAATACAATGTAGGGTTGACTATTTGATATATTGTTGGATTGATTCTGATACATTGTAGGATTGACTATTGATACGTTGTAGGATTGACTATTGATACGTTGTAGGATTGACTATTGATACGTTGTAGGATTGAGTATTGATAAGTTGTAGAATTGACTATTGATACGTTGTAGGATTGACTATTGATACGTTGTAGGATTGACTATTGATACGTTGTAGGATTGACTATTGATACTTTGTAGGATTGACTATTGATACGTTGTAGGTTTGACTATTGATACGTTGTAGGATTGACTATTGATACGTTGTAGGATTGACTATTGATATGTTGTAGGATTGACTATTGATACGTTGTAGGATTGACTATTGATACATTGTAGGATTGATATTGTGATACATTGTAGGATTGACTATTGATACATTGTAGGATTGACTATTGATACGTTGTAGGATTGACTATTGATACATTGTAGGATTGATATTGTGATACATTGTAAGATTGACTATTGATACATTGTAGGATTCACTATTGAGTATTGATATGTTGTAGGATTGACTATTGATACGTTGTAGGATTGACTATTGATACATTGTAGGATTGATATTGTGATACATTGTAGGATTGACTATTGATACGTTGTAGGATTGACTATTGATACATTGTAGGATTGACTATTGATACGTTGTAGGATTGATATTGTGATACATTGTAGGATTGACTATTGATACGTTGTAGGATTGATATTGTGATACATTGTAGGATTGACTATTGATATGTTGTAGGATTGACTATTGATATGTTGTAAGATTGACTATTGATATGTTGTAGGATTGATATTGTGATACATTGTAGGATTGACTATTGATACATTGTAGGATTGACTATTGATATGTTGTAGGATTGACTATTGATACGTTTTAGGATTGATATTGTGATACATTGTAGGATTGATATTGTGATACATTGTAGGATTGACTATTGATACGTTGTAGGATTGACTATTGATACGTTGTAGGATTGATATTGTATTGTGATACATTGTAGGATTGATATTGTGATACATTGTAGGATTGAATGTAGGGTTGACTGTTGAATTTTTTTAAAAATTTTTTTTTATCATAAAAGTGGGTTGGTGATTTACAACATAAAAATTTCCTGCAATTTTTTTCAACAAAAATTAATTAATGTTTAATATATAATGCTATTTATTTCAGAATTAAAGATTTCTGCAATTCTGAAGATGAAAACTTTAACTTACTTAACCTATTGACTCATATTTAATGTGCAAGTTTAACTGTAATGGACAATGTTTATTAACACATTCATGCATAGTGTTTAAAGAAAATGTTTTTGAAATGTTATTTTCAAGTTAAAATACTTGATTCCTTTAAATATTTATTTACAGGAGTCCAAAATTAGAATAACTCTTCTGTCCAGAAAAACAAAGTACAGGAACATTCTGAATGAGGATGAGGTTGGTGACACTCAGAAAGTTCTCTCCACTGAATAGCAGAATAAGTGGTTAAAAGCAACAGTGTCAACAATCTCTGACATGGCTACATGTACCTCTCTAAAATGTTGAAACATCATGTTATGTATAGCATTGCAATGTCAGAATGTCATTTGTTTGCTTTTCTTGATTCAAAGATATTATTTTCTTCTTTCTAATCTTTTTTTGAATAATTGTACCTTCTACAAAAGAAGATTCTGGGCATTAACTGTAATCCCCCCATCTGCCTGTCTGTCTAGCTGTTATTGTATGATGTACTGTTTTTGTTTTAGTTGAGAAGGGCAATGATTACAGTGGGAGAATTTGACGTCAAAGTAGTAACATATAACAGGTAGATAAGTTGACAAGTTAAATAATATTGAAATATTGAATGGTTTAAAAACTTAAAATTGTCAGAAGTTATTTTACTATTAATTTAATTCCCAATATGCTTTCAAAACTACAAAATTTTGTTTTTATTTCATAGGGACATGCCATTTATGGAGCAAATAGAGGTATGGAATTTTAAAATGAATTTTAAGCAAAGGCTATAGCCACTTTTGTCAATATATGGTGTATCAAAGTATTTCTGTTACATATTTAGGTCTAAATCTAGAGTTGTATGTCTGTGATGCTCTCTCTGATAGGAACCTATTTATTTCTATTTTTAGACTTCCTACAATGGTGATATATTGATATCTATTTTCAGACCTCCTACAATTATAGTGATATATTTATTTCTATTTGTTCAGACCTACTACAATAGTGATATATTGATTTCTATTTTTCAGACCTCCTACAATAGTGATATATTGATCTCTATTGTTAGACCTTCTTCAATAGGGATATATTGATCTCTATTTTTCAGACCCACAATAGTGATGTATTGATCTCTATTTTCTAGACTTCCTACAATAGTGATATAATGATCTCTATTTTTAGACTTCCTACAATAGAGATATATTTATCTCTTTTTTTCAGACATCCTACAATAGTGATATATTTATTGGCATACATGGAGCCGGACTGACACATCTTCTCTTTCAACCAGACTGGGCTGTAGTTATTGAATTGTAAGATATCTGTTTATTGAATTGTAAGATATCTTTTTATTGAATTGTAAGATATCTGTTTATTGAATTGTAGGATATCTATTTTACAAAGTTCTCCATATTTTCAGTCAAAATCTTGTAAATGTAATAGGAAATTGCAAAATTAGGTTTTCTTACTCAGTGCTTTTTCATTTTACTATATTAGTAATATTTAGCTTAAGTTTGTGAAGTTCTTATTTGTGACCGTGAGAAGATAACATAAAATACTGTCCTTTTTCATATTTATCGTACAGGATCCGGTTGCACGAACGTTAGTTAAATTTAACTGGCTGTTAACTTTGCATTAACCCGACGTTAAATGTAACTGCAAGTTAAACCGGTTGCACAAAAGTTAACTATTAGTTAAAGCTTGATTAATTTTCTAAATTAACTAACAGATTTAACTGAGGTTACCTAGGTACATTAAATATTTAATTAAGCATTAAAATCAAAATCGCAGACTTGTTATCGTTTCAAAACTTGTTTGCGTGGAAGGAAGAACTTATACAGAGATAATAGAAATGTCTGACTTGAGCAACACGCAAACTCAATCCTGATTTCGATTTAGGCAAGATTGTTTTATACATATATACATATATTGCGGATATATGTTGCGATATTATCTTCAAAGAACAACAAAACGACATGATTCCATTTGAGTGGAGATGAGGGTACTTTTTTTTTTATCCGATTATGCATACAATAAATGTCATTATATTTTATCAAAAAGATCATCATTTCAAAAAAATTTTAACCTCAGACAAGTTACTGAAAAATAGGTTAATCGCTCAATGCCACAAACTTCAGGCAGGTAAAATGGGGAGGGGGGGTCCTATCCCGCTTTTTGAGAGTTTTTTAAAAAAAAAATATTTTCAATTTTCCCTCCCAAAAAAACCAATGCCTCTTGCTAAAACTTAATAAAGAAAACTACATGTACATACTTTAATTGTAATTGCATTGTTTACGCGTATATTGCAAGTAAATTGACTATCGTTCAATGTAAAATTTCATATTTGAAGTAACTATCTTTAATAATATATTCAATATATTTTACCAATATAAGATTAACATTTAATGTAAAATTTATTTAATAGCCTTAGCAAATTTCGACATTTATGAATTGACGTCATTTTAATTATGACGTCAGAACTGTTTAACCATAGTAAGGGAAATGCGCGTGTGGAACGATTTTAACAGAGAGTTAACTATAAGACATCAATTAAATGTGAGTTAGCTAATTTATTTTTAATAGACTTTCGAACAACATATTTTTAACTGACAGTTACGTAACTCATCGTTAAAAATTTAACGACTAGTTACGACACTAACTTGGAATTAATTTAACTAATGTTCCTGCAACCGAATCCTGGTGGTTTGATTTTGATCTTATTAATAAAATGGTTTTAGATATAATTGTGAGGATGATTCCTGCTATCATGACCTGGCAAGATCTAGAGGTATTCACTACATGACATGGGAAAAACCATCCAAAGTTTACCAAGAAGATGAGGTAAGCATCGGAAAATGGTATATTTTTATGTTTTCTGTGATATGATATTAAAACAGCAGCTCTGCCACCCCCTCCCATTTTCATTTCCCAGTGCATAAAATATTCCTAGATTGTAATAATGCTCAGAGTAAAATTTTTATTTCAGGGTCATCATCCAACACTTGGGGCTCATGCCAAGTTTACAAACTATGAGTTTGATGTGAGTGAGTTCATGAGATTGATCCTTAATGCTGCTGAGTATGTACGATCTCATCCTAAATTTATCCAAGGAAGACAATCCAAGTATTCTGAGGGAAAAGGGAAGCAATCCAAAGCTTCTCAAGGGAGAGAATTCAAAGAAGAGTTATGATGTTAATGTAATAAGTAGGTTTCAAGGAGAAATGGCAAATAACATGAATTTGTAAAGATAGGAAAGTAATTGATACACAAAACCGAAATTTTTGATATTTTAAGAAAGAGCTTAATTCAAGGGTTAAACTCCTGATGCACATACATACATAAACACGAAAAAATCTCTGTCCTTGCAAAACAATGAACTCCTGGTCAACAGAAGTTCAGCTAATGCTTCAAAGTGCAACAGGCAAGAAATTTCAATAGTTCCAAAACAATATATATATCCAGGTATATTTTCACTGCTTACACACACAAAAAAAACAAAACCCCAAAATTGACATAAAAGTGGCATATGGTTAACAATAATAAAGATATGGATAGTAAAAATATAAAAGAAAACACAGATAAAATGCATAAATCAAAAATGTGAAATCAGAGCAAGTATTCTATAAATATTTGACTGTGATGAATATTAATTATGTGTACATGTTTTGTTATCAGAATTGAATTGTTAAATTATTTCTGACCTTTGTTGCTATGAACATTATTTCACAAAATTACAGAGCTGCCAACCCTTACAATTTTGGCATAAGGCTTACGGTTTGAGCATCTAAAATACGCCTTACGATTTATCAATTTATCCTTATGATCTCCATTTCTCTCTGTCAGACGTTGAAATACTGGTCTTTTCATAGCTGTTCACCTTCAGTTTTCAATATTACTGTACAGAAGTCATAATCCTTACAACGCTTGCCTGTATTTTCATTGTCTGTCTCTATACTAACTTCTAAATCATTTTAAAGTAATAAAATAAAGATATCTAGTGGCCTGGGGACTATTCGGCCTTTGGACTTCCTCCTTACAATTTTTCATTTGATGATGTTGGCATCTCTGTAATTAAGCAGTAATGAAAACCAGTGATGCACACTTTTTGATGAATCACAGATGATTATTATCGAGTAATTAAAAAATTAGAAGTAGACATTGTATATGACAATTTACAATTATGGTGCTAGTTTGATTAATCTTCTTAGAATATATATTTTACATCAATCAAATAATAAATTGTACATGAAAGTAGAGTAGAGGTTATTGCTATATTTTCTATCCATTTTTAGTTCATCAATTAATAATTTTTTTAAATAGTTTTTATTATAACTCAAATATGTTACATGTTGTGCAGGAAGATGCTGCATAGCAGTATTTGTTTGGTCTTCCATTTTGAAAATCCAAATTTTTATTTTCACAATGTAAAGAAAAAAGACATTACTTGTTAATATATGTTGTTTAGCATAGTTGGGGAGAATTAATTATGAATTTAATGTAGATAATGTATTTTGTTATAATTTTTAATTGGAAACAGAAATTGCAAAAATGTTGGCTCGTTAGTTGTTTTAAGATATGTTTTGTTGATGACTTTATCTTTTCTCAGGACAAGCTTATTTTTGTTTGATTTAAAGAAAACTCTTTAAAAAAAAATTAGAAAGAAAATGTATCACTTGTGTATCTTATATTTTTTATACATAAAATGTAGTGTTTCATATTGATCCTAATTACATGAACTAGATGTTCTATAGTTAATGTTGACTTACTTAATATGTGTTCTTGCCTGGTTGTGACTAGTTAATATTGTTGATTTTTCATCTGTGATTTTGAGGGTAATGGTGCAGTAATATTTTTGCAGCAATTATGGTATAATGGTGCCTTTTATTTGAATCCATAATTTTAAAAAGGCTTGAGTATACTGGTATGTATAATTAATTGTAAAGCACTTATGGATTATCCGTAGTGTTATGTGATTTATATTTTCTTAATGTCATTTCAGTCACTAATATGATCCTGTGCTATCTGCTCCAATCCATTGTGGTGCTTTGATTGTGGACTTTTGAGCGCTCTGAGCTTCTTCTTTAAATCAACTGAGTCCCTTTCAATCAGTATTGGTGTACAGAATTTGTGGATGAGAGAAGAACAAAAAAAATGAATGGTTGTGAATGTAATGGCCTAGGACATGCTGATGGGGTTTAGCCATCAAAATGAATGCAATCTTCAAAAAATTATTTCTGTATATCGAATCACACAGACTTTATTATAATAAAGAGCAAAATTCTATTTCCCTTGAGCCCAGACTTCTGACCACAGGGTGGAGCTAGTTTGGTCATATATTAAATTCATTGTATGGAATTTTTTTTTAAATATATACTTGACACTTGTTTGCATGATTACAATGAGACGTAAGCTGTTCATCAAAATTTTGAATATTATATTGAAAGGATCTTAAGTTCATGCTGATTATAGGGAGGTCCTGTGTTACTTGGGTCCAGAGTTCCAGTCCCAGGCCAGGCTAAGTTTGTCCTTTGTTGAGAAACTCATGATACTCAGGTGACCGTCAAGGCCTATGAGCCTCATGTTTTAATTCCTATAAATACGTACGATACAGGCAGCATGTTAATTCCATGTCACTTTGTGTAAATCAAACATTGTGCCTCGTATTTGTGTGTGCATGTATGTGCTTTTTATCTCCATTTTTCACATTTATGAAAATAGACATAAAAATTATATATATAAAATTAATGAATAATTTTCTCTTGTGTTTTATTTTTGGGAAAGTTAAGTCTTCTGCATTTGTTTTATTATATAAGACTCCCTCTCTCTCTCTTCAAACATTATATAAAAGGTGCTTATTTTAACAAACTTTCTTTGTTGTTTAAAGAAATTAAGCTTTCCCTGTCTCCATCTTTGACCATTAACCAGATCAATCCTTCCTAAATTTATTTTTAGCTTATTCTCGGACTTGAGTATATATATATATATTATTGGATGAAATATGGAGATAATGAACAGTATTCAAGCTCAAAGTTCATTAAAACAATAAAAATCGGAAGCAGAACAAACACAGAACTCCAGAAATATCAGAGATGGGATCAGGTGCCAGGGAGGAGTGAGCATCCCCTGCCAATCGGTCACACCCACCGTGTGCTCCTTGTCAAGATTGGGAAATAACGGAAAAGTCCGTCGACAATTCAGTGCGTAAATAGTGGTCTAACAATTAATATGAAAAACGTCAGTCAGCATATAACTTAATGATAGGTTGTATTTGCTGACAAGGTCATTGTATCGACCGTAGAACTTACGAAAAGATGACTTTAAACGAGACTGTTGATATTCTTTTTTCATCAACTTGTTTGTCAATAACTTACCTCGTTTTAGAAATTGTTCCTACGTAGAGCATGCTCTTGCATAATGAATCATCTGAGAGATATACACCCCATATGCAGGTGATAAGGGTATATTGCTGCATAAGTAAGGGAAGTTGACGATTGAAAAGTTAAAGTCATCAAGTTTATCATAAAGCTTGGTTTTTAGATTACCACTTTAACGTCTTTTTCTTGTAAAATATCCAAATATGAAACAGATGTGTCAGACTATGTGGTATCTATTATCTCAAGCCCACTGGGATATATCGTGTCGACAGATGAATGGAAATAAATATTGTTAATTGATAATACGTCGTCGATATATCTAAATGTCGAGTTGAAGGCCACAGCAAGAGATTTATTAAAAAAGAATTTTTGAAAAAAAAAACTTACTTCATATGAATACAAAAATAGGTCTGCTGATAACGTTGCGCAATTGGTATCCATGGCAATTCCAACAGATTGTTGGAAGACCTGGTCTCCAAAAAACCACATAGATATTGTCAACCAGAAACTCAAGCATCTTTTTTTATATCAACTTCAGAGTACTCTTGCGTACAATCAGAAAGTCTTTTAACAAAATAAATTTGCAAATGACCAATTACAATGTAAGTAAATTTACGAGTTTTCAATGATGTTTAAAAGCCTGGACTTTAATTTATCTTGGAGAATGGTTGTATATAGTGTTGAAAAGTCATAAGTTTTTTGGTTATTGATTTTGGTAAAAATTTTTGATTTCATCTCTACCTATTGCTCCTAATAATAAATGAAAATGCATTATAGATAATATTCTTGTCTTTCATTTTGAAGTTTTCTTAATTTGAATGACTAAGAGAGGTCAACCGAAAGGAAATGCTAATACGTCCATGGAATGAAAAGTGAAGAAAACGATGTAATAAACCTCAAACATCCAATTAAAAATTATTGATTTAGAGCAGAACAAACAAGAACCCTTTGAAACACCGGAGGTAGAATCACGTGATATGGAAACAAAGAGTAAGTATACCTTCTCGACCTGTCACTCCCGCTGCGAGCCTTTTGACTTGATCGCATAAGCTGTAGATCGAGTATCAGTAAGAAAATAATGGCTTAAAAATTTATTTAAAAGGTCTACTTTGACCTAACAGCTGGCTGTATTTGCAAAACATATCATTTAAACGATCGAAGAATGTACAAAATCTTGATTTTAAACGAGTTGATACTCTTTAAAATAAACTTATTTGTCAGTAGCCTGCCTCGGATATTGATAGATAGTAGAATATCATTTTCAGAATCCAATCAAATGGAAGACAAATACCTTATGCAGGTGATAATGGTATATTACTATAAAACTAATTGAAGTTGATGATAGAAAACTTCAATTCTTGTGGTTTTCAAAAAAGGTTTAGTTGTAAGCTTGCCAACCTCCTTTTGTTATATCGATGCGAAAGCGCGTCCGCGGAAAATGATATCACACGACACATTCCACTACTAAAAGACCCAAATACAAAGTAGATATATTGGATTCTTTGGCGTCTTTTATTTCGAGTTCATAGGGATGTATCGAATCAACGTATGAATGGAAATGAATACTGTAAACGTACTACATTTATCTGTGTATTCTTTTAAGCACCTTTCGCGGAAAGCAACTTCCGCTAATTCAAGTACAACGCTAAATGTCTTGCACATATAGATATAAATAAGAAATAAGGAAATGCGTTATATCAAATCTTTGCTAACTTGTTCAAAAATCAATTTCCGCCAAATATCGTACACGCTAAATATAATACATTTACAGTATTGTAAATTTATTAAACGCCTTCGCTATATCTAAATGTCGAATTGAAGGCCACAACAAGTGACTTCATTTAGAAGAGATTGAATTTTTATTCATAATGATACAAAAACAAGTCGGCTAATAAGGAGGAGGGGATTATTATTGATGGGAATTGCAAACGAATGTTTGGCTCAGGTGCTATAAAACCTAGACGAGCTCACTTTTGATCTCAGTCTCACTTTTGCACTATATATTCCTTTTGTAAACTATTTAAATATTGTCAATGAAAGTCCCAGCATCTTTTTAATGTTAACTTTAGAGTACATTTGTGTAGAATTGGACTGATTTTTAACAAAGTAATTTTGTAAGGACTAATCAATAGATACGTACATTTCTGAAGTCCATTTTTATCGAAGAAGCAGTTTTCTGATGTCAGAGAGGCTCTCTGACATCATAGAAAGCCGCATAATGTGTTGAAAAGACATCGTTTTGATGCAACTGATTTTGGAAAAGTTTTGTGATTTCAAATTTTTAAAATTCTTATAGAGTTCTTTTTTAGCATCCATGTTTGATTAACTCATGTCTTGAATATGTTGCTTTGCATAGTACTGCTGGAGTTTTTTCCACTGCTCGTATGTCTAGAAATGTGTATTACAAGAGCAAATGTTAGTATAGAAATATTACCGAAAGACTGAATTACCTTCACATGACATAGTGTAGACGAATATTTAAAAAAGATAGAGGCTGAAACATCTTTTGAACCTATTCATACCTGAATGAAGCAATTTCATCCTCAGGATCATGCATCAAATTGCTTTTCACGGCCATAAACTAGGAACGAACTTGAGTCAAACTTTTAAATGAGTATAATTTTTGAATAAATAAAACATTTTTATGTTTTTTAAAATTCTTTTTTCAATACTTGATTTTTTTTATCAATCTTTATTTTTTAAACAAATTTGTGAAGTAAAGATCAAGAAAACTTAAAATCTTAATTTTAACTTCAGTCTTCTCTCAGTTTATGGTCTTTTGGCTAAGGCTTACTGTAGTTGGTCGACATGTTACATTTTAATTCACTTAATCTTCCTTTATCCTGTGAGATAAGGTTTTAAAGAACATAATGGAATAAGACGTAGGAAATGTCTTTATCTTATATATATATATATATATATATATATATATATATATATATATATATATATATATATATATATATATATATATATATGTTATAATTAGAGTACGAGTTTTCTACTGTATCAGAGATACAGGGCGGGGCTTAAGGCGAGAGCGATAGCTCGAGCCGCGCCCCGCCCTGTATCTCTGATACAGTAGGAAACGAGTACTCTAAATGACTTGTGACACGACCCCTACATGGAGTTTGTGTTTTAAAATGCTCCCTCGATTGAACAACCAGTCAGGTAACAGTATTTCACTGTTCAACCAATCAGATTACTTCATTGTGGAATATATAAAAAAAAGTTTAGAGAGCGCGGAAATTTTAGCAGCGCGATGGAACATGTGGACGGGTTTGGAGAGTTTGATCTGGGCAACAATTTTGACTTGCTAGACTTGCCGTCTTTTGATGAATTCCTTATCAACGAAATCGATGACATTACATTATCGCAAGTATGTGAGACGATAGAATTCGAAAATGCTGCATATGAGGGACTGCTGGACTTCTCCCTATCCCCTGGCAATGGCAACAGCTCGATGATGGAAATCGAAAGTAAGGACATTGCTTCAAGCGAAAGTCGGTTTGCTCAACCGGTCAGTGATGATGACATTAAGAACTTGATAAAAGACCAAGAAAATGTTAATACGAAAAATAACACCAAATGGGCCATGAATCTGTTTGAGAAATGGCGGGCCAGTAGAGGAGGGGATATTCCCGAGCTAAATCACATGACTTCAGAACAGATGAGTTTCTGGTTAGGACGGTTCGTAATGGAGGCCCGAAAGAAAGATGGTACAGAATATCCACCCAGATCAATCTACCTGATTTTGTGCGGACTCTTACGATTTTTAAAGGACAACGGAGTATACGACAAGAATTTCCTCGACGAGTCTAACGGAGAATTTGCTGAATTCCGGAAATTGGTTGACGCAAGGATGAAATCCCTTATCGACAAAGGGCTGGGGTGTGACGTAAAACAGGCGGACCCTATTCTACCCCAAGATGAGGAAACGCTGTGGCTAAAGAGCGTGTTTGGAAGAGAAACCGCGGAGCAGTTGCAACATACCGTATTTTTTTATGCATGCAAACTCTTTGGATTAAGAGGATACGATGAACATCACAGTTTACAGTGCGAGCAGTTCAAAATCGGAGAGGACAGTGCTGGACGATACATCCAGTTCACTGGGAGGGCCACAAAAACCTATAAAGGCGGCTTAGGACATTTGAATGTGCAGTCAAAAAACCTAAAGCATCATTCTCCGCCTGGTAATTACATGTATTTATTTACTGTATGTGTATTTGTATTTGAGACGTCATAATGTTTGGTCAAGATTAATGCAAATTAATTGATAATTATATTTAGAGTTGTAGTTGATTTACCCCCCTCCCCCCCTTTTTTTTTACATCCACACATACAAAAAATACACATATCTACTATAATGCAGTTAATTCGGTTTTATTTATTGAAGGTGATCGTTGTATGGTTGACTACTTTGAGCTGTACTTAGAGTCTCTGGGGAATACCGGTGCATTTTACAGACGGCCATTACCTCCCACCGACGAAGTTCTGATACGATTCGGTCAACAGTTGGTTGGAGTAAATAAGCTGAAATCATTTATGAAAACAATCGCTGAAAAGGGTGAACTGAAAGGAAATTTTAGTAACCATAGTGGTAAACGTACCTGCGCCACGCAGTTGTATATAAGTGGAGTTTCAGAGCAAGAAATCATGCGACGCACAGGGCATAGATCCGAGAAAAGTGTAAGAAAGTATAAGCGTAGTAGTGAACAGATTGATGTTGCAGTGTCAAAAATTTTGGATCCACCCCAGAACAAGTCCGTTTGTGTAAAATCGGAAAATGGTGTTGAACCCCCAAGAAAGAAGGTGAAATGTGAAAGTGCTTCAGAGGAAAATTGTTCTAGTGAATTCCGTGTTCTGCAAGACCTTACCAATTCAAACAAGGCAGTTTTTGCTAACTGTAGCTTTAATTTTAGAATTGGCAATTAAGCCGATTTTTTACAGTGTATTTGTTTTACATTGACTAAAAAAATGTTCGGAAAATTGATGTTACTTCAGATTCTGTTGATTTTTTTTGCCAAATAGCTGCATTAAACATTTAAAAATTTACACAGGTATCTTTCTTTAAAATTTCCGCGAGATGTTGCCAGTGATCCAAACATTGTTCGTGCTGTATCAGAGATATTTTGCAGATACAGAACACTTTTGTCCTCATTTGCATAAAACACGCCCCTCAAAAGTGTACTGTATCATAGTTACAGCACAGTCAATTTCTATACAAAAACACCAAAGTCGTGTCACAAATATATATATATATATATATATATATATATATATATATATATATATATATATATATATATATATATATATATATATATATATGTATGTATATGTATAAATATGTGTGTGTATGTGTGTGTGTGAGGGTGTGTGTGTGTGTGTGTGAGGGAGGGTGTGTGTGTGTGTGTGTGTGTGTGTGTGTGTGAATCAAATGCAGTTGTTTTTAAAGAAATATTTTTATCACTCAGAAGATGAAATATTGCAGACAGCACTTTCTACGGGAAATTCTGTAAACGAAGTAAGTAATGTTTTATGCACGAAGTAAGTAATGTTTTAACCAGGGATATCAAAATGTATCCGTGGTTTCAAAGATGATAGAACCCAAACTATTAAAAAAAAATAAAAATAAAAAAAACAACAGAGGATATCAATTTTCATCAGTAAGACTGATACTTAAACCCCCAAGCAATGCAGCTCATAAGAGGCCGGTATAGGTCATCAAATCTTGCTTGTGAATTGACCCTCCAATTAATGGATTCGTAATACGCTTATTATCAGGAAACATATGTATTTTTTCCCATCATTAAAATAGTACTTTCCATGTTAAGTGGGGCCTCGCTCCATGTTTTAGTTATTTTAAGGTAGTCCGATCCCCATTCTAAAAATAAGTAATTGAAAATGCTCACAAAAATGTCCCTGAATTTAAAAAGTAATATGTGTTTTCCCATGGTATTTCTTCAAAGTTCATCATTAAAGTTAATCATATTATAAAGGGAAAATTATCAAATCTTAGATATATTTTTCAGGAAACGCGAGTTAAAGCACCAGTTATGCATTTTCTAATTAAAATTGATGAACAAAAAATAGTAAAGCTAACCAGACATGAAAATCGCATTTTTTTAATACTTATATGGTATTTATCTAATTTAATTTTATATAATGCATGGTGTTAAAAGCTTGTTCTATCATTGCAACATCGCAGATCACTTGTTATTTCATATCATACTAATAAGCGTTGGTACATGTATCTAAGGCTAGACTACCGGAAATTCAATTACTCAAAAAATGTATATCTATTTTGAATTTATTCTTTTATGGGGTGAAAAATGTCATTTTTTTTTACATTATTGTTTATAAAACTTCAAAGAACCTTGAGATGCATGAAATGAAAATTGTTGCACGAAAAAAGTTTCAATTTTAAGCCTCCTTTGGAGACTTAATAAATTGAATAATTATTTTAAGAGTTACCCTTCCTGGCTGAGGAGCGGATATGTTTAAGAAAGTGGAAGTGATCAATTTTGCCTTACTTTTGACTGTGCTTGCTAATTCTTTTATGAATACTTTCAACAATAATGAGATTTTTGCATATTATATATATATATTTAATCATATTTATATATATTAAGTAAATTGATGTTTCACAGAGATTTTTGACAAGATTGAATTCTTTTAAAGATTTTCACTCCTTATCTGTCCAACCAGGGCATGTTGCAACTCTTAACATAAAAAAGAATCTAAATCCTAATTAAAAAAGTAAAAAAAAAAAAAATAATGGTAACGTGCTTCCCTTAGTGTAAGAGTCTAAGAGATTAACCTTATTGTAAAAAAATACAAACAAGCGAAAGGAGACAAGCAAACAAACAAAGGAAAAAAAAACAAGATGTGTTTTGAAACACAAATACACCCGTATGGGAGCTCAAAGCCAAGGTTCAAGTTTTTCAACTGTAGGTAACACTCCAAGGTCAAGGTAAAGATTTCAAAAATCTTGGTACTCAAAGAAAGGTCTTGTCACAAGAAATAAACATGGGAATTATGAAAGCCCTAGGACCAACCAAGCAGAAAGAATGACCAAGGTTAATGTTTTTCTAAAGCTGATTAGTTATGATTCAACAGATTTTCAGTTATTACATTTACATGGTAAAGCAACAAAAGACATCATATCTCCCAGGAAATACAGACTCGCTGCATGTTGGTAGGAAAATACATGTGATTGAGCGAGTATATATGTGTATGAAAGAAAGTAGCTTGTCCATTATAGGAGTTGAAGATCGCCCCAACACACACGTTCGCGAAAAAGGATTATTTGGCAATAATAAAAAAAATCTGTTGTTTTGAGCAGCAGTAACCTAGACGTATGGGTCCTGCTATAACACTTACTGGAACACAGACACCAAAATGTTGGGTACAAATCATGTATTTCTACTGTCGTCTCGATGAACGAAAAAAGGGAAGAAAAATTGATTAAAATCAATTTAAATGCTACTAAAGATTGAAGAAAAAAAAGTCAAAAGATGGTAGTCAATGTGGCAATCTGATTATAAGTATTTCCAGTTATTAGATAATATATGTGTATCTTGATTTTCATTTTATTACATCTTTTATTGCCTATTAATATGTTGGTTATATTTTTCTCTACATCTCTAACTTGTGGCGCAGAGCGTCTGCTCTAAAGTCGCGAAGTAAGGAGTTGATCCTTACGTCGCGGGTTCGAACCCCACTGTGGGACGTGGAGACCGGTCCTTCGGATGAGACCACATAAACCAAGGTCCCGTGTCGCAGTAGGTGCTGGCACGAAAAAGATCCCTCACTGCTCAATGGCCGTAAGTGCCGAGCATAGGACAGAATTTGCAGCTCTCTACCGGCAAGTGGTGGCGTCTCCATATGAGTGAAAAATTCTCGAGAGGGAAGTTAAACAACATACAAATACAAACAAACATCTCTAATTACATAAATGAAATATTATATACACCAATCATACCGAACGCATTGCCAGCTAACTCATATTGCCACACTAAATTCATACAACTTGTATTTCTCTTCGATGAATATACTTCATGGTTTGCGTGAAATATGAAGATAACGAATATTATCAAGCTCAAAGGTGCATTGCAGATTTGGTGAAGAGCCTCTAAAACATCAAAGGTGGGATTAGGTGCCATGGAGGAGTAAGCTGTCCTCTGTCGACCAGTCACACCCGCCTTGAGCTCCTTGTCATAAACGGGCAAACAGAAATGTCCGTAGACAATTCAGTGTGAAAATAATGGCAAAACAACTTGTATGAAAAACGTCGGTTAATATTCGATTTAACGATAGATTGTATTTGCTGACAAGGTAATTGTATCAACCATAAATTTGCGAAATGTTGACCTTAAACGAGACTGTTGATATTCTTGTTTCATCAACTTATTTGTCAATAGCTTGCCTCGTTTTATTAATTGTTTGCACCTAGAGCTTGCTCTTGCATATCGATTCAACTGGGAGACATAAATCCATATGCCGGTGATTATGGTATATTGATCATAAAGAAGAACAGTTGACCTTAGAAAAGTTGAAGTCATCATGTTTATCATACAACTTTGTTTTTAGGTTACCATTAATGCCTTTTTCTTGTAATGTATCTAGATTGAATGCTGACTGACATTTTTAATGCTTGTTAGACCACTATTTTAACAATATTTGTCTACGGATTTTTTCCGTTTACCCATTCATGACAATGAGCACACGGCGGATGTGACCGGTCGTCAGGGGATGCTTACTCCTTAATTTCACCTGATCCCACCTCTGATGTTTTAAGAGGTCCGTGTTTGCTCTGCTCCCGTTAGTATTGTTTCAATGGATATTTTTTTTTAGGTTGATTGCTTTTCGTTTTTCCATATTTCATCAACTTTTGACTTACAACACATCTCTTATATACTGTTGAACGTACTCCTGAAGTTTCTCCTTCACGTCTGTTCATAGTGAGCGCATCGAACTCTAACGACAACGCCTGAGCGAAGAGAAAATTCAGACTTACACTTCATTGATCCAAATGAATTTTTTTTCGCAGTTGCCTCGAGACCCCTAATGCAAAGCGAATGCCTCTCGCTTCCTCTTCGTTCTCGCGTAACAATCATTAAAATAAAAAAAATAAATAAATTCACCATGATTTAATTGATATGGCATGCAGTTAGTACATGCAGTAGATTTAATGTTCTTTGTTAAAATAATGCACGTTTCAAACTTCGTTTATGGAAATGCAGTTAACATTCGACGTCATGTGACGTCACAGTCTAGACCGTGCATTGCGAAGAAGCGGATCTTAGTTAAAAGTGAATATCCAGTAGTACACAACTGGGGTCGCCCCAAAGGTTGCACCGTCAACATCTTATTTTAGTGAGGAGTAAAGAAAGAGTCTTGGTAGAACATTTGGAACTAATTATGCATCATTGTTTGTAAGGATTTTTATATTGTTTAGGAATCCAGTATAAGGATGGTAATTCAAATTCCATTTGATTGTTGGGAATATTAAAATATTTAAAACTGACGTATGATTTTGAAGACTCTCCTCCTTAGAAAGGGAGCTATGGGTATAAGTTGGATTACCACTTCCAGAATCAAATCCAAGTTCCTCTAAATTACAATTAAAATAATGAGCCTTACAAACAAAGACAATGTTGCCACCTGCTTTGTCAGCTGGGACCAGTGTATATTGATCCGTCTAATCTATCGATATTTATTTTGCACTTCTGAATTATTGAAGACAGAAGGATATATATGTTTTTCATAATGTCCCTCAGCCGCTTAATGCGAGATTTCAACATCCATATGATACCTGTAATCCATTCTGACAAAGTGTCAAGGTCTTCTATTTCAGGTTTGGCCCATCGCCTAGCTTAATCTTCCACAGAATTCATAATATTTATGAAATAATGACGCCAGTTGAAACA